GTTGGATACCGGATGTGTTATGGGTTTCTATGTACAACAGGGATTTGCGCTTCGCTTTTAGTTGATGTACTGTGACAGCTTTAACCAAGCACGAAGTCGACTCTCTCTCTCTGTTTTGTTGCCCATATCCCAACTTTAGAAGTACATATACCGCAAACTTATAAGATTCTATCAATTGCCACACAGAAATTACACTAACTTTACTTCCTCCTCAACTTTCCAAGAAAATACTCCCAATTAGCACAAATAGTTAATAAATATTAATAATAAGTTTCAAAAATCAATTGCTACAATTTTATTCTAACAAGAAGAATTTCAATTTCATTAGATATCATTTTCGTTAAGCCGAATTTTTTTTCATTTAAAACGATTTTTTATATTACAGGAATTTTTTTATATATAAAAAATCACTTTACAGAATTTTTATTAGCTCGAATTTGCATTTAACATAATAGACATTTTAATGAATTTTTATTAAGTAGAATTTCAATAGAATTTTCATTTTATTCTTTTCGATTAATTTTCATTTTTTCGAATTATTATTTGATGGAATTTTCCCATAAACGATTTTTCACACTACGGAATCTATACTTAACCGAAAATTCATTTAACAGAATTTCTATAATTGATAGAATTTTCATTTGTCCAAAATTGCAAATGACCGAACAAACAATCGACAGAAAGATTTTGGCACGATTTTTAAAATCGTCCATTTGCAATTTCGGACAAATGAAAATTCTATCAATTAAGAAATTCTATATTTTTCGTAGAACTAAAATTATATTTAAAATTTATTACACTAAATTTTTGAAATATTTAATTGTACAATTTTTGAAAAAAAATATTTTTAGTCAAAATTTACTGCCAAAATAATAATTATTTAACATTTTTTTGTTTCTTCTTAAAAATTATATAACAATCGAAATTTTTATTTAATTTCTCCTTTTTCTCATTGAAAAATTCTCAACAATTCTGATTTTGTCTTTTTTGTTAAATAATGGATTCGTTGTAAAAATATAAAAAATAAAAATTTTATTTGTTTATTAACTTTTGAGCAAATTGTTGTTAATAAAATTCAACGAACAGTAGAAAATCTTTCAAATAGCAAAATGAGCTGATTTTGGAAAAAATTACCATTGTTCACCAATTTTACCCAATGGGAAAAATACCATTGGCGTATTAATGGCCCAATAATGGGAGCCAGGGATGCCAATATAATTCCAATAATGGCACCCAATAATGGACCATTATTGGTAAAGTCATGGGCTGTCCACGCCGATGCCAATGATTGGCAACCATCATTGGCAAATTATTGGCAACCAATAATTAGCCAATATTAAAAATTTTAATAATAATTTAAAAAATCAATAATTTAAAAAAAAATTTATATTTTTATTATTTTTTAATAGTTATTATTATTATTATTATTTTATTTTTAATAATTAAATTAAAATAAAAAAATGGTCATCAAAGTATTAGTGAAACTATTTCTTCCAAAAAAGAGTTTGTCTCAAATCCAATTAATAGGAGAGACATCGGGCAGAAAAAAATTTCGACGAGAAAAAAATTTTAGATCAGTGCTTATATACCAATCAAGTGGCATCTCAACTGTGAGAAACAGTGATGTTCGCCCTCCCTTTGCGGCGTTGAGTGAACTAAAGTCCAGAGCTGAGCCACCAGTGCAGCGCGGGAACATTTGAAAAATTTGATTTTATTAGATATTTTATTTTATAATAATTAACGAATTATTAAGTATGACATTATGTTATTAATAATTATTAATGACATTAATTATTTATTGAGTTAATTATTTGTCATATTTAAAATAAAATAAAATATCTAATAAAATCAAATTTTTCAAATGTTCCCGCGCTGCGCTGGTGGCTCAGCTCTGGACTTTAGTTCACTCAACGCCGCAAAGGGAGGGCGAACATCACTGTTTCTCACAGTTGAGATGCCACTTGATTGGTATATAAGCAGTGATCTAAAATTTTTTTCTCGTCGAAATTTTTTTCTGCCCGATGTCTCTCCTATTAATTGGATTTGAGACAAACTCTTTTTTGGAAGAAATAGTTTCACTAATACTTTGATGACCATTTTTTTATTTTAATTTAATTATTAAAAATAAAATAATAATAATAATAATAACTATTAAAAAATAATAAAAATATAAATTTTTTTTTAAATTATTGATTTTTTAAATTATTATTAAAATTTTTAATATTGGCTAATTATTGGTTGCCAATAATTTGCCAATGATGGTTGCCAATCATTGGCATCGGCGTGGACAGCCCATGACTTTACCAATAATGGTCCATTATTGGGTGCCAATGGTTTTTTCATTGGCTCCCATCATTGGGCCATTAATACGCCAATGGTTACTCGTGGCAGTTTCCCATTGGGTAAATAAAAAATATAAAAAGTAAAATACATCATTATTATTTAATAACAAATTTTTAAGGCAAAATAATTTATTTTGAAAATTGTACAACTGAGTCTTTCAAAATTTGATAAAATTAATTTTTTTTTATAGTTTTATTTGTTGTAAAAAACAACTTTTTAGTTTGGGCGAAGAACTCTTAAAGTGGCTATTATGTAATAAATGAAACTTCGAGCAAATAAAAATTCTGCCAAAAAAAAAAATTCGAACAAATAAAAATTCCATAAATTCAATTTTCGATTGTATAAAAATCGGTTTAATTTAAATTCTGCAAAATAATAATTTGAACAAATAAAAATTCGGCTCAATAAAAATTATATCTAATAAAATTCTATTAAATGAAAATTCTAACAATTTGATTTTTAAAACGACTCAAATAATTGATATTTTTATTTTGTGATCTCTCGAGAAAATTATTTATTCTCCAATAAATTCCTCTCTAAATAATACGCAGTAATAAATTCTTCGAATGCTTCCAATTTACGTGCATGCGATGCTGTTTAGTTTTAGTCTTACACCTTCAAGTTTTCAATTTGATGAGATTTCAAGTTTTCAAACTTCAAGTGTCAAACTTGCAAAATTGGATTTACAAGGTTTTATCAAATTGGATGTAAGAGAGAAAAGGGATTTTTAACTTTTTTGATACTTTACATAAGACTCGACGAATTTAATTTCAAAAAAAAAGTTTCAATTTTCCCTAAAAAAAAAAGAAAGAAAATGTGTTCGACCTTTTTTTAAAAAATAGCATTTTGAAATATGCGAAGAAATTTTATAGCTTATATAAAGTGCACTTTCCGTTTATGAATTTATTTCTATCTATGATCCATATTTAAGCAGCTCTGCGTGTTGAATTTACAACCCCTCCCCGCCCCCTAAATCTGCTTTCATCGCTTCCATTCTAACCAATAAAGAATTTATTTTACGATAAAATATTTCACGCTTCACTTTTATATAAAATTTGATAAATTTTTTATTTCGCATCTGTATAGTTGCTCGCACTAGACGACGAGACAAAAAAAATTGAGACATTTGGATTCATAATTCCCTCGAAAAAAAGTTATTTATAAAATTTATATTTTGCATATTTGGTAAATAAAAAAAATTTATTTGATTCAAATAATCGGTTACTTGACTATTATCAAATATATATTTATAATTTTTATTTGAATTAAATAAACTATATTTGAACCAATAATTTCTGTATTTGAAACAAATAACATTAAATTCACTCAAATAATAATTATTTAAAAAATCAATTTTTTGATTTATAGATTTAGGCCAAATTATTTTTTTATACAAAAATAATTATTTAATACAAATAAATATTTATTTGATATAATAGTCAAGTAACCAAATATTTGAATTAAATAAATTTTTTTTCAGTGTAGTGATATTTTTAAAAAAATTTTTTCATATGTAAAAACAATGACAAATTATTCGCAACCATTTTCTCCGTTTTGCCTATACAATATAGTAATTTCTCTACATATACTAATGTGAAATATACTCAGTAAAACTTGATTACTTTTTTTTCACAACTTTTATTATTATTAGATCGTGAATTTTTATTCTCTTTTTAACAATAAAAATAATTTATATCAGTGTCGTTAAAATGAAAACCAACGCATAAAAAAACCACACTAAACTAAATCTTTCATACTTTTCAATATATGTATACCAAAAAACTTTCTCTGATATTACAAAACAATTTTTTATTAAAAGTTCCTTTTAATAAACATGTCAATCTTTTTCTCGAGTTAGTAAAAAAAAATTTTTTTACTGTTTTTTCACTTTTTACATCACTTTCAATATCTAATTTACATCTTTTTTTGAACTCTTTTTTTCATTAAATTTTTTTTTTTAAATAATTCACATTGGATTCTAAATAGAATTAAAAAAAAATTATTTGTTTTTTTTTTATTTTTTAGTCTATATTTAATAAATTTTCCTCTGCAGTTCATTAGAGGAGAAATTGTAACGATAACAAACTCATTGTTATGATCCACTTTAGCGGCAAAAGAAAGGAAGAGATAAAAAAAATACCTACAATCGATTTATACAAGTTTCTTTTTTTCTACTCTTCACTTGTTTCCATCAAATTGCAAATCTTTTGTTATCCTGTTAGCGAAGTTGCAAAAAATAAAATAATAAATCACGTTATCAAAATCAATAAAAAATTTTTTTAAATAAAAAAAAATAATTTTTTTTAATTGCATCGAAAAAAATAATTTACTTTGTTTTTCGTTACTTTTATTAGAAAATTACAATTTGAATAAAATTAAATTAATAAATGAAGATTATATTCCAATTTTATAAAATTATTTTTATTTATTTTTAAAATTTTTATTTTATAAAATTTATTATAAAACATTCATTATAACAAATTTATTATAAAAATTTACTTTATAAAATTGTCCTATAATCTTCATTTATTAATTAATTCCACATAAATAATAAAATTATAGTTGAAGGAATATTTTTTCACAAGAAAAAAATTATAAAAAACGTTTTTTTTTGGTGAATTATTTTTAACGAACAAAATTTTGTTGTCTTGTTGCAGCCGGAGAATTGTATAGCAACTTATGAGCCACACGCCTACTGTGTTGTTTATTCAACAACCGATAGGTCGTCGATTCAGATGGCTGAAGGAGTCCTTCAAACGCTTTGGCGCAGCGATCATGTATCCGCACGAGCAGTTATCCTCGTTGGAAACAAAATTGACCTAGTCAGATGCCGATTGGTGTCGACTGAAGGTACATGCAGTTATTGTTTGTTGCCACCTCACCCACACACAAAGTGAACATCTCCTTTTGAACAAATCCTTTTCATACAAAAATTTATTAAAATCGTTCAAATTAAAAAAAATTCATACAATAAAAAGAAAAAATATTCTATAAAAAAAAAATTCATTGCATAGAAAAATACTCATACTCATAATTAACAAAAAGAGAAAATAATTTTAATAAAATTCATTACAAAGAAAAATATTCATTGAAAAAATTTAAAAAATTCATTACAGAGAAAATCAGAATAATTTGAAAAAAATTCAATTCAATCATAAATATTGTTATTTCAGAAAAAAACGAATTACAATATTGCTTCCTCCGCAGACGAATTTGAAATTTAAAAATTATTTGAAATCAACTTTAATAATAACAATAATTCTGTTTCTATTTTAATCGAATTTTTCACATTGATTAAAATTACAAAAATCTATTCTTGTAATTGAGTTTGCTTTCGTTTCTATTGATTGCAATTTACATATATTCCCTTCATATAACAATTTTCAATGATTTGTCATTTTTTCTCCATGTATTTTTGTATACTAAAAAAATTAGAACAGCGAATTTTTTTTTATTTCCAAAATTAACCATAACAAAAAATATTTGTACGTAGAATTTTTTTTAACAATTACGTTTTGAAACAAATTCCTTTTAAAAAAATTTTATTTTGTAAATTTCTTTGTTTTTTATTTTTCTTCGATTTTTTTTTTATCTAAAATTTTCAATAACAAAAAATATTTGTACAGTACAAATGCTGTACATTTGTACATTTGTTCAGCATTTTTTTTTTTTTTTTTTTTTGAATTTTTTATTCTTTTTTAAAATTTAGAAAAAAAATATATGTAATTGTAATTTTTTTTAATTCATAAAAACAAATTCGCTGTAAAAAAAACAACATTTTCTTCTGTATTTTTTCGAATTTTTTTCAAAAATATCTAAACTTAACAAAAAAAAAATATTTATATAGAATTCATAAAGACAAATTCGCTTTAAAGGAAACAAAATACTGTTCTGTTTTTTTTTTTTTTTTTATTCATATCTAAAGAGACAAATTCGATTTAAAAGACACAAATTATTGTTTTGTATTCTTTGAATTTTTTTTATATCAAAAATTTACAAAAAAAAGTATAAAATTTTTTTTTAATTCATAGAAAGAAATTCGCTTTAAAAGAAACAAAATTTTGTTCTGCATTTTTTTTCAATTTTTTTCAATCGTATCTAAAATTTACAAAAAAAATTATTTGTATAAAATTCATAAAGACAAATTCGCTTTAAAGGAAATAAAATATTATTCTGTATTTTTTTCGAATTTTTTTTTATTCATATCTAAAAAAAGACAAATTCGATTTAAAAGACACAAAAAATTATTGTTCTGTATTCTTTGAATTTTTTTATATCTAAAATTTACAAAAAAAGTATCTATATAATTTTTTTTAATTCATAAAAACAAATTCGCTTTAAAGGAAACAAAATATTGTTCTGCATTTTTTTCGAATTTTTTTTTATTAATTTCTAAAAAGAAACAAATTTACTTGAAAAGACACAAATTATTGTTCTGTATTCTTTGAATTTTTTTGATATCTAAAATTTACAAAAAAAAGTATCTATATAATTTTTTTAATTCATAGAAAGAAATTCACTTTTAAAGAAACAAATATTGTTCTGCATTGTTTTTCGAATTTGTTTCAATCGTATCTAAAACATACAAAAAAATTATTTTTTTAATTCATAAAAAGAAATTCGCTTTAAAAGAAACAGAATGTTGTTCTGTATTTTTTTCCAATTTTATTTCAATAATATCTAAAATTTACAAAAAAAATATTTGTATAAAATTTATAAAAACAAATTCGCTTGAAAAGAAACAAAATATTATTCTGTTTTTTCTTTGAATTTTTTTCTTTAATACAAAATTTACTATAACAAAAAATATTTGTACATATAATTTTTTTTTAACAAATTCGCTTTAAAAGAAACAAAATACTGTTCGACATTTTTTTTTCTCGAAATTTCCTCTCAATAATAATCGAAAATGAACTCAATTCGAGTGGAATTTTTCATGCGCTAACGCTAAAGCATGAAACTCGAGATCGGTTTACAAGACTTTTGACATTAGATCCCTACCCCCAAAGTGTTGGCAATGTAAAGCCAATGCTGTCATGTTAACCGTTGCGGTTAAATTCTCTAGAGAGTTGCAAGCAACCAACGAAGAGAGAGAGAGAGAGAGAGAGAGAGCAGTAATTATCCGTTAAATCAAATCCTTTGTTGCAGAGGGTAAATCCATGGCCTGTTCATTCGATTGCAAGTTTGTAGAAACCTCTGTCATGATCAATCACAATGTGGACGAGCTTCTCGTGGGACTTTTGACTCAAATTCGACTGAAATTAGAGAATCCTGAACGTACACGTGACCTATTTCGTAAAAGATCCCGCAAGAATCGCAGTCGATCACCATTGGGATCGTGTTCAGAAAATAATTCACCAAAAAAATATCGTGGCAGTCGAACAAGCACAAGTCTCAAAGTGAGAAATTTATTGGGTAAAGTATGGGCAAGAGACAGCAAATCAAAGAGCTGCGAAAATTTACACGTACTGTAATACTAAATAATAAGAAGAAAAAGAAAAATATCTCTATATATATGTGTATGTACTGATTGTATGAGCTGGCTGAACTTTTTCCACGTCGCGTCTTTCCATGGGGACTGAAAACCAACTTCGGTGAGAGAGACTTACACAAAAAAGCACGATCTTGTTAAACTTGTTTAAATTGCTCGATAAGTTTACGAGACTATATATTTTTGTTCCTTAGAAAATTAATTTCAAAGTTCGTCACTAAATTGATAATTTGATCATTTTGATAAAACAATCTCTTGTGTTCTAGAGACAATTTTAATTTTAATTACATGAATTTTTTTCTTTACAAAGTAAACAATAGTTTTATAATTTTTTTCAGAAATATTTGAAAAAAATATTTTTGAAATCGAGAAGGAAGAAAAATTTAATTTTTTCTCTTTTGTCTTTTAAATAACAATTTCCATTTTTAAAAGTAAATTATCAATTTCTGAATGTGAAATTTTTGTTATTAAAACTTCAGGCCTCGGATCGACTTTAAGGCACAAAAAAGTCGATTTACATTCTAGAAAAAGTAGAAAAAGTCGATTTTTTTATTTTAATTAAATTTATATATTTTACTCTAAACAACTAATATTATTGGAAATTAAATTCATTGCATTAATATTCTATAAGAATATTATCAAGATAATTTATTTGGAATAAATTTTCAAAATTTTAATTAAGTATAACAAATTTGTAAAAAAAATTCTTAAAGTTCAATTTTTAAAATTTTTTGAAATTTAATTTAAGCAATTTATTCCAATTAAAAATTTTGGTATACTTTTTAATTTTAATGATAAAAAAATTGTCGGAGAATAATTAAGTTTTACAGATTTTTAAATTAAATTTTTTTTTAATAATTGAATTGCAGAAGATTTTAAGTTTTAATTTTTTTTAATTTTGAAATAAATAAATTTTTGTTAAAAATTTGTTAACTAATTGAAAGAAAGAGGTATTTTGTTTAAAAATTTTGTAAAAACTGTAAAAAAAAGTCGAAAAAGTCGTATTTACAAAAAAAAAATCGGAAAAAGTCGTATAATTCGAGGCCTGAAACTTAACCAAATAGTAATTGACTTTTCCCTCTAAATTAATTAAAAGCGAAAAATTTAATTTATTCATAGGAGAAAGTCAATCACTAATTCAAATTGGTTAAGAGTTTCACTAATTCAGATTTATTGAGTGACAATGATAATTTTGAATAAGTAATAATATTTAATTAAATATTTAATTGTATTAATTGAAAATATTTAAATTAATATTTAATTTGTTTTCAGAATATTATTTTAAAATAATAAAATAAATTAAATAAAAAATTTTTTTTTAAATTAAAATTAACAAATTTAATATTATTTTTAAAACTCTTTAATTATATTTGAATTGAATAATTTAGTTTGCAGATTACATTCATGAGAAATCATCGGCGACATTTTACCTCTCCTGAATTGACAGATAATAAATACACATCAGAATCTGAAAACTAGGATTTATTTTTCATGAGGAATTCAAAAGAGAAGATGAATAGATATCGCCTGCAATTTTAATCAACGGTCATATAAAAAAAGAGTTAAAATAATTTTACATTTTTGGCATTATTATTTTGTTCAAAAAAACAATATTTGTAAAAAAAATTAATTTTAAATGAATAATAATTAAATCTAGTTTCTTACTATTAATAATGAAGTATTTCGTTACATAATAGATTTAATATTCGTTTTTTGACAAATATAATATTTGCATTGAATCAGCATTTTTTTGCCAACTGTTCATGTGGAAGATTTTTCCTTGATATACATAGTTAAGGAGAGAAAAAGAATGTGTGCTAGTCTGCAGATGTGATATTCTTTTTCTTGTTCCAGTTTTCATGTCTTTTTGAAGCGCTTCCCTTCTTACTTTCCAAAAAAAAAATATATTCAGCGCTCCAAGGCAATTTCGCGATTTTACTTGTATAAAAGTAGTTCAAAAAATTGGGCGAATAAAGAAAAATATTAAAACAGAGACTATAAATATACGCTCGCCTTCCTACGAGTCGGTATTGATTTCGAATTGTCAAATTCGATTGTTTAATTAAAAGAAGAAAAAAAAACCCGGAAATTAGCGAGGTCCATAAAAAAAAACACAATTAAAAATTATTTTCACAGCTATTTTAAAGTATGTATAGAAAAATTAGAAATCTATTTAACAAAAAAAAAAATCAGAAATAATAATGGGTACCCGAAAATTATACCCACTGTATTTTTTAACCCTTAATCCATTTTTGAATACGCTTTGATCTATATAGATAACCCTATATATGTATATCCCCCAAAAAAAGATTGTCGATAATTAATCGACGACCAAAAAAAAAGTCATTTTTTGGTCAAATCCAGGTTATAACCACACGTATGAATTTACACAATTTTTTACATTACTATTTTGTACGTCGACAGATTAATATACCTATAATTAATAAAAAAAAAACAAAAAAAACGTGTTGTTGGTTTCAAGAAACGGACGAAAGGAAATTCATTTTTTGTGAAATCACGTTTTTAAAAAATCGTTTATTGGAAATCCTATATATATAAAACTCGAGGAAATTATATAATGAACGAGCAATTTTAGATAAATATAAATTTTTTGAATTTAATGCGAGCATGCGAGGTCCACTAGTTAATAAGTGTATATTATATCACGCAATATAACACCATATGAATTAATAATAATAATAATTATAATAATAATATTAAAAAATTTTCATTGAAGCTGGATATATTTGATTAATAAAAAATGATAGATAATCAGAAATGTTATTTGGAATAATTGCTATTTAATTACTATATTAAAAATAGTAAAATGTATTAAATTTTCATTCTTTAAGAAAAACTTTGATGGCCTATTTTTCAATTATTTATTTTTTCATTCATTTTATTATTATTATTACATTTCTGATTAGGTAACATTCTCTCGAATGGAATTTAGAACAGTATTTGAAGAAAAAATAAAATCCATTTACAAGACTTAATAAACTATATAAAAAAATACGTTAAAGGCTCTCAATGTATTTCTTAATAGATAGATCATCGAGTGTTCCGTTTCGCTGTTACATTTATTGTAAAAAAAATTCCTTTCTTTAGAAAAGGAAACAATTGACAATTGTCGACATGTTTGTTAGCTTAGATTTCGATGCACAGTGCGTGTTTTCTGTTTAAAATTCTTTCATATCATTAAAGCTCGACTCTCTCATTTATAATTAAAAAAAAAAATTTTTTTTCTCTAATCGAACAAATTTCAATATACAAACGTAAATTAAATTTTTTTTAATGAAAATGCCAGTCTTTTATTTTATCTGACAAAGCTAAGTTTTTTTTCGTTTTATTATAATATGAAACGGGTGACAAAATTGAAAGAGAATGATGAAAAGAGAATTGAAGAAATTTTTACAAATATTATTAAAAAAAAATATCCTACAACATGTTGTAGACAAGCAGTCAAAGGGAATGCTTTTCTTGCTTTTCTGTTTATATTTTCAAACTGAACAACATCCAATTTCTAAGCCGCCAATCATTTTGCATTTCACATTTCTAAAAAAAGAGACCGTATTCAAAAATCTGTGGAAAATTCTCGAGGGAGGTCTGAAAATTTATAGCTACTTGTAATTTTGCTTGTATAGCATGAGCGCAAAAAAAGAAAACAGAGAATGAAATTCTACAAATTCCAAGAATTTTCTTGATGAGCGAGTCTGGCTTTTATGTATATGTAAAACTATGGTCCATTGTTTTTTAAAACCGGAAACTAAATATTTTTTCTATTAAATCTATAATTAAAAATATTTTTTGGAAATTTTTCATTTTTTTAAAAAATTAAATCTTAATAATACTAATTTTAGTTTTCAAAATGTAAAAAATTGTTTTCATTTCTTTAAAATGGACCCTAGTTAAAAAAAAAAAAGAAGAAAAATTTTAAACACATATTAAATATAGCTGTGAGAAAAATGCGAAAAAAAATTTTATAATCAAAATAAAATGTAAAATTTAGTCCGATAGACTATTTATTATAGAATAGTTTTTTGCGGGCTTGGCCTTTTTTACAATCTTTAAATATTTTGCCAGGCTAGAGCCCGTTTTGTGTTCCTAATTGCATTATATACGAGCAAAAATGTGTACAAAGCCAACAATTTTTTGCGAAGCTTAAAAAACGAATGAAGTTTACATAATAATACTATAGAACATTTTACGATTTCTCAAAATTTCCATCAAAAATAGAAAAAAAAAGTTCGCCACTTGAAGAAATAAAGCATCATTTTTTTTCAAAAGAAATTTTTTATTTCAAAAAAAAAAAAAAAAAAAAAATGCAGTGAATTCAATTTTCAAAAAGACTGAAATTTGAAAATGAAATTTAAATTATATTTGAATAAAAATTGTTGTCCTTGAAAATTTGTAAAGAAAAAAAAAAGGTTTCATTCAACAAACAAATATGAATTAATTTGTTTAAATTATACAATATTCGAGTTTTAAGAAAACAAAAGGTTTGTGTGACATAAAAAAAAATAGCAAACGCTTTCCTCTCTTTAAAAATTTCTAGATTTCTTTTTTATATTTTATTTACTTTATAAATAATTTTAAGATAAAAGCGTTTGGATTATTTTTTTTGCATTTTAAGGAAAAAAATCGCAAAACATATCGTAACGCAAAATATAATGCGTTCGATAGTGAAACGATGAAATATTTAATAAAATGTTATTAGCAATAGAGTCGGTATTATGATCTTATAACGAATTAAGTGAATCAACTGAATTACATACATATACATATAAAAAAAACAATGGTGAGTGGAACAAGTAGTATATATTCATTCAAGACTTTATTGCTTGATTTTTTCGATCGAACTAAATTCACAAATTTATTGATTTGAAAAAGTGATTTTCATGATTTTCATTTTCCATTTATCATTTACTAATATTAAATTTTTATTAAAGAAACTAAGAAAAATTATTATTTTATATTATTTTTATAATATAAAATAATATATTATACAATTCATTAACGTATTTTTAAACATACTTTATTTTCTTACGACGTCATTATTTAGAAACTATATATATTATTTAGAAATATGTTAATGACTTCCGAAAAAGATTTTTTATAATAATTTCTAAAGAATTATAAAAAGTGCAATAGAATGGAAAAATTAAGAGTTCGGTCGAAAAACGCACTATAAGTTTAAAAAAAATCAGAGAGAGTGAGAGTGAGTGAAAGAGAGCAAAAAAAATGGGATTCGAGTCAATTGATATTTTTTCAAACTGAAATGGATTTGAGACATACTTCAAAAGTGTGTCAAGTGTCAGAATACGTACGATATTGTATATAAATAATAATAAATGGTTACAAAACACCATATGTATTATTATTAAAAAAAAAAGAAACCTAATTTATTTCAATTTTTCTACTTTTTTAAAAAATTTACTTTGCTTATTTAAGTCAATGCAGAAATAATAATAAGTTGAAAGGAAAATTTCTATTTGTTGAAATAGAGAAGAAAAACGTGAATTTTTGTGATTTCTAACACGCGCTCACGTGTAAATAAATTTACGTGTAAATGTCATTTTTTTCCCTTCAACTTCATTTGACATCATATGAAAGAACGTAATTTGATTTTAAACTGAAGAGAATATTTAATTTAATGTAATTCTAGGCCTTTAGAAAATTTGTCTTTTAAAAATCAAAAAGATTTGTAGCTTCTTTTCAAAAAAAAAATAATAATATACAAAATTAACAATATGGCAATTTATTTTTTTTACCGTTTCTATAATAAATGAATTTGATTTAAAAATAAAATCTCTCTTTTAATTTTGAAAAACCAAAAAAATATTGCAAAAATTGTTAACTTTGACGTTTTTATATTAATTTTACAAAGTAAAGGCGGATTTGATTAAAAACACTTTTAGAATTTTCAGCGAACCAACTCTCTCATATATATTCTCGGAAACCTGAAAAGCGACAAGGATATCTTTACTCAAGTCTTTCAAGCAGAATTTATTAAACTTACTTTCCAAGCTGAAATGACATTTAAGGAACAATATTTTCCCAGTAAATATTATGAAATAGAATACTGGAAGAACAAAAATATTTGTCAATCTGGAGATTACTTTTATCATCGATTTGGAAGATAAAGAAAAACATTTCTTCAAGAAATTGCAATTATTTTGTAAATAAAAAAAAATTTTAATAATCCTCTAGAGAATATATTATTTTAATATAAAAAAATTGCATTATTTATAAATTAATTTACCCGTCAAATAAATTCTATTCATTCTTAAAAGTATGACAAACCGCAATTCAATAAAGAATAAAGTAGATTTTAACACAGTATATGAAATTTACTTTACAGCCATTCACTATATATAATGAAAATAAAAATGTAATTATAAAAAATTTCAAACATCGTAACTTAATTAAAACTATGGTGGCAAATAAAAAAAGGGGTAGGGGGGTGGAAAACATAATTAGCAAAGTATGGGTTACAAAATAAAGATCACGTGCATTTAAATTGATCATGGGATATTTAAAAAAAAAGTTTCAATTACTAAATTAATGTTAATAATTTGATATCTATTTTTATTTAATCGATAAATTATAATAAATAAATCTTTACACAAACATAGGTGAATTTAAGCGTAAGTTTTTATTTTATCTCACAGATTTAAATATAGCTGAATTTAATTAAATTTAATGATTGAAGTTTCGTCGGATTATTATGGGGGAAACAAAATATTAAACTCTCAATTAATCAATTTTTCTCAATCATTTAATTTAATAATATTTCAACTATAATCGACTTTAATTTTCTTTTTGTCAGTTTAGTTTCACTAAAAATTAATACATTTATACAAAGTTCCAATTAATTCAGTCACGTGTATGTTCACAGATCTTGTACCAGACCTTTTTTTGTTTATTAATTAAACATTGAAACTATCAACAAAGTATTTATTTTCAGACATGCTAAAAATTATTGAACATTTTTTTCATATATTATCTCTTTTAAAAATGTAGACGGCGCTGTTGTATACAGATTACCTAAACAAATATATTATTTTTTTACAATATAACTAAAAAATGAATAATAATATATTAATGGATCAGTAGGAAAATAGATTTAATTTAATTTTGAATTTTAAATTAATTTTAATAAATTTTAACAAGAAATTAAAATTTTGGAAAATAGATTGATATAAAAAAATGATATTACTCTTTTTTATATTTCAAAATATAAAAATAAATGATAAAAATAAAAAACTTACCGATAAAGTTGTTTGCTTTTTTATCGTAGGAAATTATTTTACAATTATCTTTTTGATCAATTTTAAAATCCAAACATCTTTTACTTGGATTTGATTTGTAAAAGGGACTAATTTTCAAAATATTATTATATGGTTGTCCACTAAATGGATTAATGAAATCTGACCAAAATCCAATCATCTTCAATTTCATACAAATGTCAGATGCTGCCAGTACAAACTGTTGGCAACGATAATAATAATTATTTAAAAAAAAATCAAAGTTCAAGGTTCATTAATGCTTGTTATTGAAAACAATCCAAAAAGTTTACAACTCACATATTTGGCAACCTTCTCAGCCTCCTCTTCCTTACTCCATCTCGCCGTTTTTACATATATCTTTTGACTAAGACTAATTATTGTGAGTTGCGGTGAATGTACTTCCGGACATCCTGGAAAAAGTTCGGCTATCTCTTTTCTCAATAATATTGGACATTGTTGTGCAACAAAATGTAAAATAGGATGATCACTTTTCCTTCTTCTTTTTGTTTTTGTATTCTTTTTACTATTCGATGTCATTTCATTTAAAAATGAATCATCAGCGGGCAAAATTTCTGAATGTGTTTCTACCTGAGCTATGGTTGAAGCATCTAACCAACCAGGGCCAATACTTCCTGGTAAATAAAACCTAAATCCTCGTGGTGTGAGTAATTCCCAATTTGGATTCGCCCCAAAAATGGTATTATCGAAATCTGATAATTAATTTTTAAATCAACTTTAAACGTATATTTTTAACATTTCTTTAATAATATTAAGATTCTACTTCTTAGTTACAAAAAAAATAAATTTAAGATAAACACATAAATGATGTAATAAAAATTGGAGCCTTGACAGAGATTTGTTTTTCAAAAAATTAAAGAACTTACTAAAGACCCAAATAATAGAAAATAAGAAATGACGTAAACTTAAATTATATATATACAAACAAAAATAAAAGTAAATTTTAAAAAATGAATTACATACCGTCAACAGATTCTCCATTATTGGATTTAATAATTTCAAAAGTACTTGTATTTTCCTTACTGCGTCGCGAATAATTAGCCTTCAAAATCAATCTGACAGGCCGTGAGATGCAATTTTTCCCAAAATTACGAATACAAAGCATCTAAAAAATAATTCGTCACGATAAGGTTAGGTTATGATGAAATTGTTTCTTACCATAAGAAATATATACTTTTATTAAAATCTCTATTTTTTCATACTTGCACTAATTAATTACTAACTAAACGCAGTCAATGACTGTTTATTACCATCAAACTTCCACTTTACATGCTAGATATAGATTTAGATTTGCGTATATAGTTAACTTTTTCTGACTGACGTAAATAAATTTTATTATCGACTGATTCGATACACGTGTTAGATATATATCGAATCAGTTCGTTCGATACTTTTGACACTTGCTCCAAAAAATGGCACAGTAGTTTAAAAAAAAAACAATATGTTATTAATTTATTATTGTTGTTGAAATAAAAGCATGTGAGTAAAAGAAAATTTTTAACTATATAACAATAGTTAATTATAAAAGTGTCATGTGAAATAACAATGACATAAATATGTTCATTATTTCTTTTTAACATAACCTCTCTTTCAAATGCCGCACGATGATTTTCATTTATCTTAAAATTTTCCATTTTAATTGAATTTAATATAAATTAATTAAATTAAAAATGAATTTATCACATTTATTTTAGTACATGTAAGAATCCTCATATATAAGTTACAAAAGTAACACTTGTGATCAACTTTATTTTTTTGACTCATTGAAAATGATTTTTCAATATAAGTTAGTAATTTTGCAATAATAATAATTGTTTTACAAATAATTTAAATAATTATATGATATAAAGGTCTATTTTAGTCATTATGATTATCATTCTGAAACATAACCTAAAAATATATATTACAATTTCACATTTTGTTTCTCTAATTTATAATTATTATAGGGTTTTAAATTAAAATCTTTTTAGGTTTAAATTATATGAACAATAATTCTGTAATTTGTATATAAATTGAAATAATATTCCTCGAAAGTTATTATCATTATAAGCATGTGATAGATTTTTTTTTTAATTTAAACTCCCCTCCTCTTGACACGATGTTTTTTACATTAAACGATTAAAAAGGAGCGTGATATTTTTATATTTTCCTCATTTCTCTTAATGTATCACATGTTTTGCGGTTGACCCCGTGATAAGGAACAACTGATTGTTAAAAAACTTCTCAGAGTGTCAGTATATTAACATTTAAATGTTACATAAAATCAAATTACCGTAAAATAGATCTTTATTTCCTATTCACTATTTAACAAACAAGCAAGAAATATTGAAATTTGAATATAACGATATAAGGAAATTTTAAAGGTAAATAAAAATGAAATTTGTAAATAACTTTTCAAGAATATTTATTGACTTTATTGTATATTTATAAATTTTATACTTATTTTATATTTATGGAATTACCCGTAATATTAAGTAGTGTAAATTTAAAAAGTATATAGACTTTTTAATTTTCAACTTTTTTAACTTTATTCTTATAACTATATGTTTATTATTTGCCATAAAAATAATATAAAATCAATTTCTTTAAAATATCAAATATAAGAACAAATTGTTTTTAACATAATATCATATTTATAAGAATTTATGTGGAAAATATTTATTCAATTAATAGTGTTTCGATTTAATTATTTATGTTGATTTGATTCAACATTCGAGAATTATGTATGTACAAAAATAATTGTAGATTATTAAAATTCTATTTTGCATTTATATTATAATACAGTGCTTTTACATAATGAGTAAGGCACTTTTAGGGACTTAAAATGAAATTGGTAACTTATACCACCAGCAAAATCATTTCTGATTATGGGTTCAATAAATCTTAAAACTATTTTCATTATATCACACTTATAAAAAGACATTAGTGTAAAAAAAAATATAATATACATAATTATTGAAAGGAAAAAAATAATTTTATCTGTAAGATATGAGCCTCACGTTTTTAAATTTACATTCTTTGATAAAGATTTTTTTTTTTAAATGTAATTTTTTCTATGCAAAACGAAATCTTTTTCTGGTTTCTTGTAAATGTTCGAAAAAAAAAATATTTTTAAATCAATTCCGTAACAAAACTAAAATATATATATATAAACTAAATCTAAAAAATAAATGAATTTTAATCTACTTCTAATTTACGAAATGAGCCCGGAATTCCTCCCAAACCTTCACTTGGTGTAGAACAATTTTCTTTTGGTGACAATTCAATATACATGTCATCGAGTGCCTTCAACTCTTGATTTTTTGCTCGCAATACTTTCTTAAATGAGTCTAAAAATTATTTATTAAAATAATATTATTGTTTTGTAAATTAACAAAAACTTCATTAATAATATTTAATTTTTTACCAATCATTTCAGAAAGAGGAATTTTCCCACCATATTCTTTTGGCAAAATTTGTGGATTAACAGCCTTTTTGAGATCGTCTATAGTTTTGTGAATCTGGGGAAAAAAATTATTTGAAAATTTCGAAATAGAAGAAAAAACATCTTTTATATTTAGATTCTAAAGTCATTGGATAAATATTGTCTGCATTAATATTGACATATTGCTAATTAAACACATGTTTTGAGTAAAAAAAAAAATAAATTTTACTCTTTTATTAAATAATTCTCTCCTCAGATTATGGGAAAAATGACAAATTTATTATATTTGAAAATGTTTGAATAATTTGAATTTTTTTCAAAAAAACCTACGTGTATGCGACTTTTGAGTTTTTCGTTGAGAAGAGAGACGACAAACTCGACGACTTTTGTTGCACAAGTAGGAATGTTGATTAAATGAGTTTCTTTATGTCGCATTGGAGTTGTATTTTGAATACATCTCAACATATTTCGAATATCTGTTAATGACCATGCACTAATATGACCCATAGTGAGACCAGATTCATCATTTAAATGAGTGTATCCTTTAACTTGATTTTCTTCTTCGTCCATTAGAGCCTCCACCACAATACTATGTGTTCTGGCCATTTGAGCTGAAGTGTATTTATAGGGATCAAAACGTCCTGAAAAATTAGACAAAAAAAAATTATTTCGCTTAGAACATTTTTCTTATTTATTTTATTTTTTTATATAAAATAATTGAGCACCTGGAAATAAGAACTCGCCAAGCGCTCGGCTGCACGCTATAAAGCAAGTCAAACATACAAAAATGATGAAAAAATAAAATTCGAAATTTTTGATTTTTGAAAAATGCTATCTTGTAGGAAATGAAAAGGCGCATCTTTTTTTCCTCTGGATTTTTCTTGTCAAATGAATAGTTTAATTAATAAATGTAAAAAACTAATAAATTTTTATTTCCAAATTTCATTCAATTTTTAAACATAAATCATCGTATCTTCGACAAATATTAATCAAATCCAATGAGATTTTGCATACTTCCGAGTTTGGGTCCATAGATGACGATAGTCTAAAAAAAATGTTGAATTTTTTTCAATTGTTGACCAATTTTTAATTATAAACAAATACCTGTCGGTAATCATACTCAGTTATCTTCGCCGACAAAAAGTCTGTGGGGAAGTTCATCGTTGAAAGAACTTCCAGTGAGACATTTGTGTATTAGGATATAATGAAGTTTTCTGTAAAGTTTCAAATAGATTAATTCAATAGTTTAAAAAATATTGAATTTTTAAGATTGCGCGTGTGGCGCGCCAACGAGTAGGCAAGTGGATAGAATCGCTGAGCAGTTCATTACATGAAAAATGACCACTTTCTCACATCTTTTTTCTCTTAATTTCATTATTATTATATATAAATTGTTTTAAATTGACTTTATAAATAATATTTTTTTTAGTATTTATCATGTGTATATATATATATATATTTATTTGTTTATATTTAAAAATACAATTCAATAATAAAAATTAGAATGTCTTATGAGTATTCAAAATGTACATATAATTAATACAAAATATTAATAACTATAAGTAGTCAAAATTTTTAACAATATAGTTAATTAGACATTAGATGTAATTTTTTTAACAAAATTTTTTTTACATTTTTCAAACAATTACAAACTATCAACAATAACTTGTAAATAGAAAGTGGTCATTTTTCATGTAATGAACTGCTCAGCGATTCTATCCACTTGCCTACTCGTTGGCGCGCCACACGCGCAATCTTAAAAATTCAATATTTTTTAAACTATTGAATTAATCTATTTGAAACTTTACAGAAAACTTCATTATATCCTAATACACAAATGTCTCACTGGAAGTTCTTTCAACTATGAACTTCCCCACAGACTTTTTGTCGGCGAAGATAACTGAGTATGATTACCGACAGGTATTTGTTTATAATTAAAAATTGGTCAACAATTGAAAAAAATTCAACATTTTTTTTAGACTATCGTCATCTATGGACCCAAACTCGGAAGTATGCAAAATCTCATTGGATTTGATTAATATTTGTCGAAGATACGATGATTTATGTTTAAAAATTGAATGAAATTTGGAAATAAAAATTTATTAGTTTTTTACATTTATTAATTAAACTATTCATTTGACAAGAAAAATCCAGAGGAAAAAAAGATGCGCCTTTTCATTTCCTACAAGATAGCATTTTTCAAATATCAAAAATTTCGAATTTTATTTTTTCATCATTTTTGTATGTTTGACTGGCTTTGTAGCGTGCAGCCGAGCGCTTGGCGAGTTCTTATTTCCAGGTGCTCAATTTTTGAAACGTACCAGCACATGATAGAATGACTTTTCTTCCTTGCTCGTCCCTTTCCAATAGTGGAACCAAATATCCACTATCAATTATTGCTTCAATATCAGAATCATTAATATCTAAATTTTGAAACCAATCAGGATAAAGTTGTCTCATTGTGAGATAACGTTCCAACATTTCCTCAGCTAATGGGAGGCTAAATTTTTTTGTTCTAAGAAACCTGAGTAGAAAAACAGCGTCAGTACGACAATTTTTAATTTGCGGATGTTTTTTTATCCATTCACGAAATTTTTCTAAAGCTTGCTCCCGCGTATTTTCATCTTCTCTTAATTCCATTCGTGCAATTACTTGTGAATCAATACTCAATCCACATTTATAATCCAAATTCTCTTCTGTTCCCATACCCATTTTTCTGAAAATTGTTTTTTTTTTAAATATATTTTTAATTTTTAAAAATCAAAATAATTTTACAAAAGAAAATAATATAAATAAAAGAAATGTGTAATTAATTAATTTCAAGCACTTTTTCCGACTTTTTTTCGACTTATTTTAATAAGATGCGACTTTTTCGACTTTTTTTAACATTTTTTTTACAAAATATAATTTTAAAAAAATCAGCAACGGAAATTATCAAAAATTCAATTATTTTCAAATATTTCAATAAAATTTATAATATTTTTCGAAAATTCAATTATTTCTAAACATTTCAATTGTAACTCTTTCGAAATTAAATTATTTTTCAAATTTGTCAAATTAAAGAATTTATGAAATTCAATAATTGTTTAAAATTAAAAAAAATCAGCAAATAAAATTATCAAAAATTTTCAATACAAAATCACCTTTAAAATTTAATTATTTCTAAAATTTTCTACCTACAACCTTCTGAAATTTAATAATTTCAAGTATAACTCTCCTGAAATTCAATTATTTTTAATGATTTTTATAATATTCTTCAAACATTCAAGTATCTAAAACCATTTTTCACTTTAAAAATTTTTAAATTCTACTTTTGTCTGCAATTTTTTAATAAATTTTACAGTAATAGAAATCATCAAAAAATTTTAATTAAAAATCACTTGAAGTTCAATTAAATCACTTAGAGTACAATTATTTTCAAAAATCTGTGTAATTTGATTTGACTTTGATTTCAAAATTAAATTAATTTTTACGAATTCATTTTTTTTATTGCAATTTAAAAATCAAATTTTAATTAGGTTTTGATTGCAATTTGAGGTGAAATTGAAATTGCAAAAAAAATAAATTAAAATTTGATTTTTGAATTGCAATCAAAAAGTAAATTTGAATTTTACGTCAAATTGCAATAAAAAATGAATTAAAATTTGATTTTTAAACTGCAATCAAAGAAATAAATTTAATTTTGACGCCAAAACGAATTTGATTTTGACATCAACTTTTAAAAAATGTTATCTAAAATTATTTGACAAATTATTTTCAGTTCTTTAAAATTTAATTATTGTCTGCAATTTAACAAAATCATTTGAAATTCAATTATTTTTAAAAATTTTAACTTTAACTGTTCAAAAATTTAATTATTTTTAATAAATTTAATATCTATTAAAACATTCAATTATTTAAAATTTTTCAAATAAAAACTCAAAGATTGAATTGTTATTAAAAATTAAAAAAGAAAGAAACTACAGTTTTTGAAATTTGCAGAAAATTAATTTAAAATTTAAAATCTTCTTTGCTATTCAATTGTTTAAAAAAAAAAAATTTTTTAATCTGTAAAACTTAATTATTGCCCGAAATTTTTTCTGACCATTAAAACTAAAAACTAGGACAAAATTTTTAATTCGAATAAATTGCTTAAATCAGACTTCAAAAAATTATAAAAATGGAACTTCAGGAATTTTTTTTTAGAAATTTGTCCTACTTAATTAAAATTTTGAAAATTTTCTTTAGTTCGATTCTGAAATGAAAAAGAATTAAATTTTCTTGATAATATTCTTGTATAATTATTCTCATTACAGAATTAATAAAATGAATTTAATATCTAATAACATTATTTATTTAAAGTAAAATATTTGTTAATTAATTGAATTTTGTTAAAATAAAAAAACGACTTTTTCGACTTTTTTTGAAATATAAATTGACTAAAACGACTTTTTTTGTGCCTTAAAGTCGATCCGAGACTGTAATTTAATATTATATTGAAACAATTTATGTTTATAAAAATAATATTAATTAATTTATTTCTCAGGTAACTAAGCTTTTTGGAATTTTTTTTCAGAAAGGACAACGCATGGTATCCTGTGGGTCTTGGTTGAAGATAGGGTCAATAATTTATTATATTTGAAAGTCAAATTACTTTTTACAATGAGGGTGGTTGCTCTTATTAGTGGTGGAAAGGATTCATGTTTTAGTATGATGCAATGTGTTGCTGCAGGTCATGATATAATTGCATTGGCTAATTTACATCCAATTGGAAAAGATGATCTCGATTCATTTATGTTTCAAACTGTTGGTCATCAGGGAATTGAATTTATTGCCGACGCTATTGGATTACCACTCTATAGAGAGCCAACATTTGGAAGATCTAAAATGCAAGATAAAAATTATGTACCAACTGATGATGATGAAGTTGAGGATCTTTATAGATTATTGAAAAAAGTGAAAGATTCAGAAAATATTGATGCCGTATCGAGTGGAGCAATTGCAAGCGATTATCAACGATTACGCGTGGAAAATGTATGTAAACGTTTGGGACTTGTTTCATTATCATATTTATGGCAAAGAAATCAAGAGGAATTATTAAATGAAATGATTCAATGTTCAGTGAATGCAATATTAATAAAAGTTGCATGTTTGGGTTTGGATTTGAAACATTTGGGTAAATCATTGATGGAAATGCAACCGCATTTATTGATGATGAAGGAAAAATTTGGTTTGAATGTTTGTGGTGAGGGAGGTGAGTACGAAACATTTACTCTCGATTGTCCATTGTTTATTAAAAGTATCGTGATAAATGAATATGAAAGTATTGTACATTCGAATAATGATATTGCACCGGTTGGTTATCTTAATTTTAAAAAAGTACAATTATTGGTTAAAGATAAGGGAATGGAAAATTTGTCACTGAAGGAAAGATTACAGAATGTTATTATAAAAAATCCTCTTGATTATGTTTCTGAAATATTGTGTCTAAAGGAAGACGATTTGTCTGATGATAAAATTGTTGAATTTGATACAAAAATTGATAATGATGAAATCTATCCTGATAATCCTCAAGTGAATGAAAATGAAAGTGGTTGGCTATGTTTTGGAGGATTAACAAGTGAAAACACGAATCCCGCAATTGCGATGGAGGAAACATTAAATAAATTACAGAATCTTTTGTCGAGTAAAAATATAAATATTTCGGATATTGTGTCAGTTACATTGTTCGTTAAGGATATGGGGAATTATTCATTGATAAATGAAATTTATGTTTCGAAATTTGCACATCTTAATCCACCAGTTCGTGTTTGTGTGGAATGTCCCTTGAATGTGCAAATTGTACTTGAGGCATTGGCATATAAAGATGGAAGTGGTACAAAAGATGGTGCAATTCATCGTAAACATACTTTACACGTACAGAGTATCAGTCATTGGGCACCGGCAAATGTTGGTCCATATTCTCAGGTTGTTCGTATTGGTGATATTATTTTAGTTGCTGGACAAATTCCCCTAATTCCTGGCAGTATGACAATGTTAAATTCAAATATAAGACAGGAGTGTCGTTTAACATTGAGACACATTGAACGATTATTAAAATCAGTGGACAGTAAAACACAATTAAGGGATATTGTGCAGGGAATTTGTTTTTTAACTGATTTCAAATATATAAAAGAGGCGCGAAACGAATGGGAGAGATTGACAAAAAATACTATTGACGATTATATTATTGTGCCGAATCTCCCAAGGAATGCAAGAATCGAATGGAGTGTTTGGGCACATAGAGATAATAGTCGATTTGAATATGAGGAGATAAGAAAAAATATGGGAAATATTAAAATATTGTTGAGAAGAAGATGGAATTATGATAATATATCGGCAATTGTGGGTTATTTGTCTTTTGATTTAACAAAAAATTCGGAAACTAATCAAGAAAATTTTACACAAGATGAACTAATACAGTGTCTTGAATATCTTCTCTGTAATTTGAAAAAGGGTTCACTAACTGAAAATCCCGCGTGTACTTTAAGAATATTTTATAAAGGTAATCTTTTTTCTTCACAATATATTCAAAATCTTTTAGTGCCTTTTTTAAATGATAATTTAGTTGTAACTAGTATTCCTGCATTATATTTACATAATGCCAATACTTACCTTTCGGTGTGTGGTATTCGTCACGAATAGTGTGGTAAAAGAAAACGGAAATAAATTTGTATTAAGGGCTTTACAGAAAAATATTAATTTCGATTAATAAATAATAGAAATTAAATTTATAAAAAAACATTGTAAAAATTATTTATCTTTTTCTTTAGTAAAAATTTAATATAATTTCATTAAAATTATATTTTAAATTAATATTTAAAATATCTTTTTGGTAAATTTTAAAAGAAAATTGGAATAGGAATACGTTTTTTCAAATTAGAAATAAAGTGTAATTGATTTACTAAACATAAAAGATTTTGAAAGAGATGACAAAGTATTCATATTCTTTCTGAATAGAGGATTAAAATTTATTCAGAATACTGATGACCATGTATGTTTCAAGGCTTCTATTTAAAATGCTTCTTTTATTCGTTACACTGTGCTCATAATAAATTAAAAAATTATATGTACAAACTTCAAAAAAAAAATAACTCATATTTATTACTTTCTTTTTGTAGAAGAAAAAAAGTTCAATTTTGATTTTCCGTTTTTACTTTATAAAAAAAAAATTCTTTTATTCTTAAATGTTCGGGTAAAAAGCACTAAAAGATTATTATTTCAATTTTTGTTAGAATTATAATAACAATAATTATTATTATTGTATAATTTTCATTTTATGTTAAAAATATTAACATATTACTTTTTCAATTATTGAATTTTTTCTTCGATAAGCAAAAAGTATTTTTTTAGGCTTGAATTATGACAATTAGTAACGAGTGTAGCAAATAATCGTGTAGGTAATTATTTTTTTTTAGCAACACTCTTGAGAAATTCATGAGCGTGCGTACGAAAATGAAAGTGATCAACAAACATAAGGAAGTAAATCTGCACTTCCGCTTTATATTTGATCCACGGCTTTCTAGTTTTTGTTATTTTTAAATATATATCATACCTATAATAATATAGCGTATCACTTGAATTAAATATAAATTTCGAAAATAATGAAATATATATTTACCAAAACAGGTAAAATATATTTTATTCGAAAAATCGTTATCCAGTCATATATCTGGGATTTCCTATCATTTCTTTCACAATTCTTTTATTGTGAAATATTAATCGTGAGATAATCCAAGAAAGTAAGAAGAATTTTTGTAAATATTGAAATAATTTTCTTTTTTCAATTTTTATTTAATTTAATTAAAAATTATTTTTGCAAACATTAATTTTTTGCAATTCGTTACAGTCAACTATTTATATATAAACTCGAAAGCAATCGACTCTTTCTTTCAATATATCTTTAAGAAGAAGAAGAAAGTTCCTCAGAGTTGATGTATATATGTATATATATATATATATAGTGCCATTCAGTGAAAGTAACAAACCTATATTAAGTTCAAGAGAAACGAATTTTTAAATGAAACAATAAAGCTTTCAATTAAAGTAATAAAAATAAAAATTGCTTTTCAAAAAATTAAGTATATTTAAAAAAGCAGTTATTTTAATGACGAATATTATTTTAAAAAATTTATATTTATTATTAACATTACAAATTTTTAAAAATAATATCAATATATTGAATTTTTCTATTTCATAATGTGTCCCAATTTTGTCACAGTGCCATTTTTAGTTTCTTATTCAAATCACCGATTATGAAGTAAGCATTTTCATCTATGACTTGTATGCCTTTTTTTAAAAAAAAACAAATATAATTTTTTTTTTCTTTTAATTTCTTGATTTCTTTAAATTATAAAATTTATATTTAATTGTTCATTTTTAAATAAATCACTAAACTTAAAAATAAATCACTCTCACTTTTTTAAAATACTAAAAATAATAAAAAAAATAATTAAAATTCACTAAATTAAAATTTTTTTTAATTCAATTAGAATTTTTAATAATTTTGGAAAATTTTTTATAAGAATTTTTCACTTTGAAAATTGAAATATTCTTCACACACACCTGTAAATATCAAGTTCCTCCTGCGAGAGTAAAGTGACGGGCAAGAGTCTTTTGGCGACTGCTTGCTTAGTTGAAGTTAAAGAAGTAACCCGAATACTTTCGAATGATCATTTTATAAAAAGAGAGGGGGGATTTCAATACAATAAGAGTTATGGAATTCTGGTCTTTAATTATGACATAAAAACGTAACTTCAAGGTTTCAAAACAATTGTTTTGTTTAGATTTTTCTTTAAAATTTGAAGAAGAAAAAAAATTGAAAGCATTTCTACTTTTTTTTCAGTATAAGAAAAAGAAGATAAAGAAGAAGAAGAAGGAATGATAAATTTTTAAATATTTTTCAAATTTGCAAATAATTTAAATTTTATATGTTTAATAAAATTTCTATACGGAAATTTAATACATATATATCTGATTTAAGAACAATTTCCGTTTGGAAGATCATTAAGTCCTCGAATTCACTTTCTTTTCGAGGCATTCTACTTTGCTTTCTCCAAAGGATCGAATCCTCCATCGCTTCGTTGATCAAGAGAATCGTTTTTATAAACATTTTTTTTTTAATTTTATGAAACTCGAGGAAACAAACTTTATTTGCTAATCCAAAAGAATTGTTGCATCTACTTCCATTCCACCTGAAGAAACTTTAAAAGTTTAATTAATCCATTTTAAAATATAGAAAGTCAATCGGTAATTAGTTGAGTTCAAGGAAAATAACGATGGAAAACTAGAAATATAATTAAATGAACGATTTTTTAAAAATGCATTAAACATACTTTTTTTAGTAAAAATTCATAATATAATTTTTTTTAACAATACCTAGTTATAAATAATAATAAAATTAATTATTATTATTATTATTATCAAATAAGCATGAATAAAGCGTCAAATTGTCTTCAAGGATCTGACTCATCTTTTCTATGTTTTTTAGTAAATTTGTCTCGGAAATATTTACATAATTTAGAACTGAAGAATTCTTGAGTAACCATTTCCTCTTTTAATGATAATGAGCTAAAAATAATATCGTTCTCGGTGTTTTAGAAAAAAATGTCATATATTTACAAAAAGATTAATTTTCGTATTTGTATGACTGAAATAAACTTATTCACATTCAAATCGTTTCTTCACTTTTAAACTTGACTTCAATACATTTCATTGTTTATAATTATAATTTTTGTTATTTTTAGATTGTTTTGAAAAATGTGCAATTGAAACATTTTAAAATAATAATTTTTAAATATATGACTAGTTATAAAATGAAAAATAAAAAAAAATAAATTTAAAAAGAATATAATACAGATATATAAAATATGATATATAGTAATTATGAAAGACTTTGTTAGAAGGTAAGAAATGAATCTTTCGAAACGAAATTATTTATAATATTGAAAAAGATAATTGGCCATAGAGATTTCTCATCTTTTTCTACATGTGAGAATGATTAGTCAACAATGGCGAGGTCATTATGTTACGAGGTCTAATGTTCAAGTTAAAAATGAAAGTAATATGTTTTTTTTTAATCTTTTTTTCTCCAAAAAGAAAATTTAATATATAAAATCTATATGAAAACTTAAAAATTATTTTAACGAATATTATCAACAAAAAAAATTGTCTTCAAAAGAAGAAAGTCAATGAAGTGAAGACACAAAAAAATGTTCACATTATATTGAGAGTGCGAAACTTTCACCGCCAAAAGAAATTCAAGTTGATTGCTCAATATTTCAATATTTTTGGACAGTGTTACCAAACTGTTTTATATACTGAAAAAAAAAATTTTATTTCACACAAAAATATTCATTTTATATAAAAATAATCATTTTTTCTTTTTAAAAACAAAATATAAATAAATTTTTTTTATTATTAATTGAACTTAAAATTAATACGAATGGTTTAAATTCATAAAGTTAGAGAAAATAATATAAAGCAAAGTTTCAGTATTTCTTCTTTTATTCCATACAATGTTTAACAAATTACTTATAACATATACAATATAAGACACATATTTATAAACGAAAAATATAAAGCTTTTTATGCCGAAATATACACAATGAAAAAAAATGTACAAAATAAATTATCTGTAAAATTTTGTAAAAATTCAAAATCAATCACCAAGTTTGAAAAAACTTTTACTCACTTTATATAATAGGTATAAATATATAGTATTTTAATGGTATGTTGATCTTACAAAAATGATTTTAAAACAATTATTTACAAGAGCGATTAATTTTTCACAAACTTTTTTGATAAGAAAAAATCTTAATTTATAAAAAAAAAAATTCTAAAAATTACTATATAATTTTCTATGTAAATGTATTTCATGATTTTTAGTAATGACTTTATTTACATAAACATTGTTCGTAGTAGTGAATTTCAACTGTAAAATGTATTTATTTTGTAATTTTCAGTTTCAAAATTAATCTGAATCGAACATTTCGAAATGTATCTTGAACACTAAAATTAAACTCGTATGAATTGAAATTCTACACAAGTATTGGCACTTAAAATTATATTCTAATTCGACACATTTGAAAAAAAATATATTGCACACATACGCAAACGCTTTCTTTTATTTTTTTAAAAAGAAAAACAAATTGCGCTGCAAAGATTTTTTTAAGGATTAAATTAGCCAAAAACAAAATGATAAATATTTTAAATTCATATTTTTCTATTTGCAATGATATTTTAATCTGTGGCGTCAAGTTTATTATAGAGACGGAAGAATTAAATTATAGAAAAGTGGAGCATATTACTCACAAATATATAAGAAATTAATATGGCAATCATCCCAAAGGATTTCCAGTTAGTAGATCTACACTAAAAAATCTAAAATATAAAATTTATATTGCTCTCAAGCACTCGACACTTTTGTACATGCAAATAATTAATATATCAAAAAACAGATACTTCTAAATTGAATCTAATAATTATACGCGTATTCGAATTTACTTTCAATTTGGCAACAATTCATGATAAGGACTCTTTTTTACAATTTCTTTTCGTATTTACAAATTTGACAAAAAATATTGTCATTTTAAGACGATTTTTTAAAGTTGCCGTATTTTTTAAATATTACAAATTGTTTTTTACAATTTTTAAGAGATTACAATTTTTTAACCCTCTTTTTCAAATATTTTATTCGACACAATTTTTTGTTATTGTAATTTTTCGACATTTTTATACAGATTTTTTAAAATTAATTTCCAGAAATTAATTCTAAATGAATTTAAAACTTTTCAAGTTTTATTTTTTTTGACAAAAGGACTTCATCTAAGAATAACATTATCAAATGTTAGATCCCTACTGTCTCGTTGACCATTAGATTTTTTAAATGGATTCCAAGGATGTCTTTTGGCTACATGAGCTGTTGTAACTGATCCTGCAGGACTAGGTTGTCCCGATGATACTCCCGAGGAACTACTTGCCGATACACTTCCTTTATCGTGATGACTCGTTTTGGCTGGTTTCTTTAAAAAAAAAATAAAATAAAATTCAAAATTTCTGGTTTTTCAATCCAAGAAGATAAGAAAATTGAAATTAAGCTATTAACAAACCTTTAAATAATTTCTATCCATCGGTGTAACGAGTTTTAAACTAATTGAATCTCCGCATTGTTTAATGAGTCGTACAACTTGATCATGAGAGGCCCACTTGACATCTTTATCGCTAATACTGACAATAAAATCTCCTTCTTTCATTCCTCCTAACTGTAAAATTAAATGATTTTTTAAACACTTTTTTCCCCTAAATTAATAATTATCAATAATTTTTATAATTTAGATTTTTTATTACACCTTCGAGCAAGTTTGTTTCAAGTTTAAAATTGATCACCACCGATGACAATTAAGTACTTAAGTAAATAAATAATTATTATTATATTATTTATATAAAGTAATTTAAAAATAAAAATTTAATAATACGAAAAAATTATATAACAATACTTAGATATGTATACTAAATAAAATTTTGATAAAATGTAAAACTCACGTCAGCAAGTGAATTGTGATCTACGGCAGCAATAATAACGGGAGCATCGCCTCGTACACTAAATCCAAATCCTTCGCCTCCTGGTCCTCTTTGAAGTTGAATCAGTCTCGGCGCGGTCCAATGTCTTTTTGCTGAAAAAATTGCCACTGGACCCAAGGATCTGAAAAGGTCATCTACACCATGCTGACCAAAGTCTGGATGTGTGAGACTCAATTGAAATTTCGTCGAGGCTAAAATAAAAAAACAAAAATAAATATTTATTATAATTTTATTATTTTATTTTAAAAATATAATTATTTTACATTACCTATTATATGAGGAGGATCCAGCAAGTCTCGAAAATCGTCTTCATCTCCTGCACGATTATAAATTTCCAAGGTACAATCTTGACCTTTTTTTAAAACTTTTCCCAAAGTTGGCTTTCCTTTTAGCTCCCTACACATTCTTTGCAGCCTCTGACTCTCCTCGTGCAGTACCAAAGCTTCCCTCAAATGTGCACGTCCTTTAAATAATTAAATATAATAAAATATTAAAATAATGTTAATAAATAATAATTTAATTTTCATTAAATTAAATAATACTTACCCAATGCTTTTCTATCATTATCGTCTTTCGGTACAATCACATCGATTTGTGTCTTTCCATCGCTTTCTTGAATTCGTTCAAGAATTAATTTTGCTTCGGTGCAAAATTCCGATAATGGAATATCTAAAAGACCAACCGCACAATGTTTGTGTGCCAAAGCCAAATGATGTTCTCGTTTAACTAAAATTAACGAAACCCATGATTCTGGGACGTAATCACGAACCGGCTCCCGAGTTATTAGTCCATGAACATCGTTATAAACTGCAGAAACCTAAAAATAAAAACAAAAATTACTTATACAAAAACTCGTTCTTTAAAAATATAATTTTCTTCATTCAATTTTTTTTCCTGACCTGAGCAGCTTCTTGAGCAAGATCCAAAGAAACATCAATATTTCTAGAATCTCTTGATTGAAGTTCCAATTTTTCAAAAAGACACTCCCTTGCCTGTGCCTGAAATTATGAAAATAAAAAATTAATCATTGAAAAAAATCATTTTTTAAAGCAAAAAAAAAATTTTTTTAAAGAAAACGTACCAGCATTAACTGGACCAGCATGTCCAGCATGTCTGGTCCCAGATCCATGCTGGGTGCATTTGTGAAATTTTCATGAATATAACGAAATGTGCCAGCAGCTCTTAAAAATGCATCAACCGCCTGATCTAAACCACGTGACGTACGTCTGTCTTGTTTAGCACCTAATTGTGTATAAAGAGCTCCTGCATTAAACAAAACTGATGCTTTTTCAAAAGCAACTGTCCTCTGACAACTCGGCACACCAGTCAATGAATCAAACCACTCGAAATAAATTCCCAAACTTCTGTCAGGTGGAAAGAAACGCCTTTCGATGAAATATAATTGATTATAGTATCGAAGAAGTAATGCTATTCCAGCAGCATCCCTCGTTGGTGTTCTCGTTGCCTGAAAATAAAAAATTTAATGTATTTAAAAAAAATTAATTATTGCATTTATTATGTTTTTTTAACTCGAGAAATAATTTTTTATTTAACAATTTATTTGTCAATACATATTTAATAATAAAAAATATATAATATTTTTTTATTCACTTAGAATTCGTTTTTTTATCTATTTTCAATTATTTACTTTGATAATAAAAAAATGTATTTCGCCATTTATTAATGGCATACTTTTATAATATCGAAAAAAATATTACGTAGTAGATTTTATCAAGTTTCTTTTAAAATCTGCACTGATTGTGCGTTACAATTAAGATAATAATATCTTATCAAGACTAATTTACAACAGTTGCGTATGCTTCAGAAACATTCGCTTCAATATTTGCAGATAACAATTTAAGATTTAAAAAATAAATAGCAAAAATTTTGTTTGATTAAAAATATTCCATTTTTAAAAAATAATTATTTTAGAAATTAATTAATTTTTAAAAAATAACAATTTTTTGAATTATTAAAAATATTTTTTTGTTAATTAAAAAAAAGTATTTTACCTGTCTGGTTTCCATAAGTTCTGCAATGGCCTCTTCATAATTCCCTCCATCTTCACTATAATGTTCTAAGATAAAATCCTGAAACATTAAAAATCAAATCTAATATTTAAAAAACTAGATCGTAAAATGTTGTTAAATTAACATATTTTTAAAATTAAATTTATTTTAATTAAATTTATTTTAGGTAAAATAATGTGAAGTTTAAAGCAATGTCAGGTTTCCAAGTCTCGTTTAATCGATACTTTCTTATTCTACTGTCACAGTTCGCAATATTAACTTGTTTAATATGTTTATTATCAATATAACGGTTCTTAATGCGGGAAATTAAAATGATCTCTATGTCTAGAACCTAAATTACAAAAACCTGTTTTAAGAAAACTTGTTTTTCTAATTGAAAAAAAAAAATTATAATAATCTTGCCTAAACAATAATTTTTTAAAAATATTTCGAAACTAACCTACACAGTGACATTTTTAATTTCATAAAATAATAAAAAAGATAAGAACTAATTTTTTTTTACAAGATGGTAAGAATTACTGTGGAATTGATTCGAAAACGTGCTGAGCATAATGAAGGAGAAATATCAACTTTAGAAGAAATCTCCTTGCATCAAGAGAATATAGAAAAAATTGAAATGCTCAATCATCTTTGTCGTGATTTGAAAATTCTTCTCCTACAATATAATCTCATATCAAAAATAGAAAATCTTAATAAATTAAAAAAATTGGAATATTTAAATTTAGCTTTAAATAATATTGAAGTCATTGAAAATTTACAGGGATTGGAGAGTTTGAAAAAACTTGATCTCATGGTGAATTTTATAGGAAATTTAAAAGGAGTCAAAAATCTCAGGTAATTATTTTTTCTTAATTGTTTTTTTGTTTGAATTTTATTTGTGTTTTTTTCTAAAATTTAATTTTTTCTAGATACAATCAACATTTGGAACAATTGATATTGACTGGAAATCCCTGCACTGATTATATAGGATATAGAGAATATGTAATAGCGACACTTCCTCAACTTAAAGAATTAGACATGATTGCTATTGAAAGATCAGATAGAATAAAAGCTCTACAAAAATATGCTGAAGCTCAAGGTGATATTATTAGAGGATATAGAAATTATGTGAAAATACGAGAGCAACAAAAATTAAGACATCAAGAAAAACAAAGTCTTCAAATTACTGAAATTAATCAAAGTGATTCAGAAAATGTAATTATTCAATGACTTTTTCAAAACAATTTCTTATATTTAGAAATTTTATATACACATCGCCAGTATAATAATTTAAAAAATTACTTTTTTAAAAAAAGTAATATCGAAATAAAATTCAATAATTTTTTTTCATTCAATAGTCCAACGACGAAGAAGAAAATGGAAAATTTTGGAATTCAACAAGTTACCACACGCCGGAAGATCGAATTGCAATTGCAGAGCGTGTACAAAAAATCGAGGAAAAAAAGAATAATTCCAGAAAAGAAGAAGAGAAACAAAAATATGTTCCTAAATTATTTAATCCAAAGGGAAAACCCTACAATGTTAATCAGGCAAAAGTGGCTTTTACAATAAATGACGAGGATTCAAAAAATATTATTCTGACACTTGAAGTATACAAGTAAATAATTTTTTTTCATTTTCATTTTAAAAATATCCAAATTATAATTTGAATTTTTTTTTTACTTTTTTTTCCAGACACTTGGATACATCTTTTTTAGAAGTAGACGTACAACCTCTATACGTGCGAGTCACTATAAAAGGAAAAATTTTACAATTGACACTCTCCTCTGAGGTGATGACAGAAAAAAGTTCCGTTCAAAGAAATACTACCACAGGACATTTGGTGATAACAATGCCTCGATTAAAACCATCAAAAATAATTTGTGGAAAAAAATTAACTAAAACTGATGCAAACAATATTGGAGAAGGTTCTAAAGTGATAAAAAAAATTGCTCCCATAATTTCGAAACGAGAACTATTAGAAATTGGACCACCAAGAGATGATTTGGATTTTTCGAAAATTGCAATTAATTCCAAAAATCGAAAAACTCATTTACCAAAACTTCAAACTTCGAATTTTATTGATAATCCTCAAGTTCCACCTTTGGAATAAGAAAAAAAAATTTTAATCACATAAAAGGAAAAAAAATCTGCTATTTAGGAATTTTTCCGAATATTTATATTAATCATAATATACTCACTTTAAATGAATCTCGAAAGTCGATATCTTTGGTCTCCTTCAATCCCAATGGTATCATGGGCATAATGGGATCTTCACTAAAAAATGAAAAAAGAAAAATATTAAAAAACTATTAGAATCCAGTGTTGATTACAAATTTTAAAATAAATCCTTAATTTTACATTGCGAACAAGTATTATTGCTTCACATATTTTATATATATATATATGACTCACAACAACTTTCACTTGCTCCATTAAACATTATTTTTTGACACTAGTCTTAGACCAGAATTTTGATGTTTGAGAATTTCACGAATGCCCTAGTGTTTTATTATCTTGTTTTATGTTACATAAATATTTATAATAACTTGATTTCAGAACATGGATTTTAAATCAAAATATAAATATTTATAGTATCAATATTTCAAAAAATATTCACATTAATATTTATATTATTATTATTAATATTATTATTGTAATATCGTTAATAATATTAATACAAATATTATCGTTAAATAATTATTCTAGTTTTATTATATTTGAAAATATAATTTTTCCTCAATGAAATAATTATAAAAAGAAGCAAAAAAATTATTATTCGAATTTTTCTGTTTTTTTTTTCTTAAATAAAAAAGTGGTTTATTTTAATTTTTTAAATTTTTTTGTTTAATTACTTTGTTAAAAATGTCATGACAGGATTTTTGTGAAGAGAACTCTAAGCGTTATACGAGCGGTAAATCATTACTTGGTCCCGTACGAGTCTTGCTTCCCGTTACTAAATATGGCGCTTTCTTTCAGTTATACATTTCGCATTTATATTTACAAAGTATACTCATAAACAAAATAATAAACTGGAAAAGTCGTTAAAGAAATTATTGTTTTGCATATTATTAATACTATACTTTAAAGTAGGTTCTTTGCATTTAAATCTTTTTTTATCATTTATTTCCACTTTTTTAAAAAAAAGTTGAACTATATTAAAAAATAAAAATAATTTTATTACAATTTTATATGGGATTTAACCTTAATTCTTTCTGATAAATATTTTCAAATTAAGTTTTAATTTAGGATCAATTTAAGATTAATTTAATATTAGAATATTAATTAATAATTCTTTCCAATTTCTATTTTGTATGAAAAATTTAAAACCATGCGTATCGTAGAAAAAAAAATTAAAAGTGACTATCGTTTTCGAGAGCCATGAATCTAGAAAAGTCCAGTTTGTTCTTGATGTCATTAGAAAGGACAAATTATTTCTCTTTTAGAATGAACATCGAGGAATAACTTTCTTGTATACGACTATGGACCGTAAACGACAAATACTGCAATGAATTTTTTTTTCATCAGTTATTTAACCGACCATTACCTAAGTCAATATACTCTAACGTTGATGAAGCTATTGGATGCCAAAAAAAAGAAAATAAATCAGTTATAAATCTCCTCTTGAGAGTTTTCATTACTCGTAATTTCACTCAACATTTTCAGTACCGTTTAATGAAATTTTTCTCGCTTTAATACAAATTTCTATGGTTGACTTGGATGCAATTGTTTCTACAACTTTATTTCTAATGTAATAAATCTTAACTAATCAATTACAAATCTGTTTTAAAAATTGAAAATTAAATTTTTCAATTATTATTAAATTAATCAAATGTTCGATATTTTAGGGAAAATTTAATTTTTCGAATTAAGAAACTTTTTGAATTCTGGGGAATTGAATTTTTTTCTTAACGATTATTATTAATAATAGACATTTATAGTTGGGGCAATTTTATTTCTAATTTCCTATCCGGAGGTGAACCACAACCGTTATTTTAAAATCACTGGTTTGAAACTTTTGCTCTGAACAATGTTGCATTGAGGCGAAATGCAATTTGTAAAAGATTTTTCTCGTTTCATTTTTTTTTTCTTTTTCTTCTTCCTTTTTGCAATCGTAGGTGATGATTTTCAACATTATTGAGCTTGGGGCCTCGGAAAGAAGGATTGCATTAGGAGTAAAGCTTCGGCGATATGGAAAGTTCTCATCCATAAAGTGCATAGCATTTAAAGCGGTTTTGTGCCTACTTGAAGAGCGGCATTGTGGGCATAGTATTCACATAGTGGGCGGACACTGACCCAGGAACCGAAGCATAGCGGATGGACCGGCAAACCATGTTGTAAGAAGGGCACAGCAACACTCGACTCTGAACTTGTATAAGTACTCTCGATAAAAACATAGGGCAACGTTTTATATCAAGATTCAAAAAAAAAAAAAAAATTAAAATACAAATAATTTTTAATTTGAAACAAATCATAAAAAAGGCAGCTTTTACCTCTTGGACTTTATGATAATATAAATAATAATTCTGCACGAATAATTTTTGTAAAATAATAATAGTAAATGTACCGTTTCAATATTTATGAATCTTCTCGCTGGCATAATTATTTTTCAGCCCTTTCACTTTGGAATCTTGATTACAGAGTTGGTGTAATTGTACCTTCGAGAACGTTTATCCTTCAAGGCGTAAAGCTTTGAGGCTTCTGCATAATATTTTTGAAATATGCAAAAATTCACGTTCGAAATTTATATTTTTGTAAAACGAAAAAAGAAAAAGAAGAAAAAGCTAAAGATCTGGGAAAATTGTAAAAAAATGTTTTTGTAATCTACATTAGAAAAAAATTGAAAATTAATTATTTCTGTTATGAAATATTTAATTTATAAAAGGAGACGAAAAGAAGAAATTAATTTTTTTGTGTCATCTTCAGATACTAATACTTTTGAAACATGACAATTGAAATGTGACTCGTAGAAAAACATATGTGCATAAACTGAATTTGAGACAATATCAATATTGATATAATAGGGACGAGCAACAATCATCAGTTTCTTGTACCATTGAGCATATATTATACATTTAGAAAATGCATTCCGAGACATAATATAAATTACAATACTCCATATCGATTTTGAATATCAATGAGAGGCTGAACCACATTTATAATATCTTGCGAATGTATCTAAAGAACTAATAAATACATATTATCCGAACATAGTTTTCTCTACACAATATTGTAAATTAATTTGTCTAATCTTCAAAAAAGAAATAAAACTGAAATATTTTTATCAAAAAAAAAAATTTTTAACCAAAAAAATTCCATTTTTATAAATTGTTAAATAATTATCTACTGACATTTATTTATGAAATTAATTGACTTTAAATGCATTCATGCGCAAAAATAATAACTCGTTCTAAATTGTGTAAAAGAAAAACTATTTTACACACATGTCTGGAATAATTAGCTACTTATATAATTTATGAAGTTTCGAATTATTCCAAATGGAAACAACTAATTATTTAAATATTGAAAATTTTTATGTTACTGTTAATTGTATTTTTATTTTTATTATTAAAAATTCTATTTTTTAGCTTAGAAAGCTTTTCTTTAAGATCCAGTACATTTTTTTCAGTTGATGTTGATAATTTATTTCTGAGTGTAAATGATAGAATTATTTTTATAAATTTCACAAGGTAATAAAAAAAATCTAGCTAATCAGACAAAAAAATTAATTGGTAAAAAATGCTTAATCTCACCTATCGCCATTTTGGTACAACTCAACGGAACTATTAAGTTCCGCCAGTTGTTCTTTGAGTAACTGCAAATTCGAATTGACAAAACTCAATTCCAATGCAACTGTCTCTTTCAATTTTCTGTTAGTTGTGGCCCTGAAAAAATAATTTTTTGTTAAATAAAATAGAAAACAAATTAATAAACAAAAATTAATAACTAAATTAATAAACAAAAATTAATAACTAAATTAATAACAAAAATTAATAACAAAAATTAATAACAAAAATTAATAACAAAAATTAATAACAAAAATTAATAACAAAACTTAATAAAAAAAAAATAATAAATAAAAATTAACAAAAAAAAACTAATGAAAATAATTTTCAAAAATATTCTATGAAATATAGATTTAAAAATTTAAGAAAAAAAAATGGAAACAATATTATGAAATAAATTTATTGTGAAATTAAATATAATTTACTAACTTAAAAAGATTTTCAGCTCCGGCACGAAGACGTAGCTCTTTGTTGATTTCCTGATTAAGTTTACTCCTCTTGTTTTGTAACTTTCCTCTACATGTGGCGACTCTCGGGTCCGAGCCCTAAAAATAAAAAATACAAAATTGTTATTTATCAAAATGATTTCAATTCACATGCTTCACGGATATTCATCTTTTTTTTTAAATCTCAAGTTTTTTATCTTATCAAATTTTTTTTTTATGTGAAAAAAATTTAATTACATATATTTCACATAAATTATGGGATAACTTTTACTTTTACAGGGGAGATTTTAGAAAGCCATATGGGACAGTAGAAAGTCCTATTGATTTTAATATTATAAAATCCATTATTTATAAAAAAAACATTTTTTCTTACACAAAAAAATTAAATGTCAAATTGAAAAATTATAGCTGTAACTATAAAAATATTCCTAAAAATATTCAAATTTGAATATGAGAAGAAAATCAACTTCGTGAAAATTAAAAAAAAATGAGTTCATAAATATTATTAAATGACATTTTCAAAGGTGTTATATTTGAAATAAGATATTTTTGACCTGTATTAGCCGACATAAGATAAGAATTCAGTTTGTGTATATATAAAAAGGAGATCAAAAGTTGATCTAAGAAGGACGGTAAAATGTCACAGACTTCGAAACAGGTCCGAAGTTCTTAATACGGATAAGACAGTTTTGCTGCTTGGAGTTCACTATAACGGACATTTAAAAGTTGGTTGTTAATGATTTGCACTAATTTCTTCTTTTGCAGTTAATATTTTTTAAAAGGTGAACTTCCGGCCTACATAGCAAAATATCAACAAAAATTCTATCCGATAGTATTTTCCATAAATTTTTAAAAATTATATCAATCCGAAATCGAAATTGTCCAAATTTTCTTAATTAATTAATTTTCTTCAATTAAAATTTAATTTTCAAATTCAGAAAATGTATTATTAAAAACTTATTGATAAAAATAATTTATTGTTAAAAATAATTTGTTATTGTAATTTCCTGTGAGATTTATAGACAGTTATCGACTGTAAATTTTCTATTACATTGATTTTTAATATTTTTAATTTTTTTTAATTTTATTTACTTGTGTTTTTATTTACAGAAAATCAGTTAAAACGGAATTTAAATAAAATTGAAAGTGAATTACGGTTTAGTTAAAGTATATTGTAAATATAATGTCCAAAGGCATAATATTGCTATTTTTTCCGCATGATTTATTTTTGTACCGGAACTTTATATATATAAGCCTGACACTGTCAAAGAATTTTTGTCGATTCGACCAATTTATTTTAGTATAGTGAAAGTTTATAGCGTATATACCAAACCGCTCTGTTGTAACTATTCGACCGTAATAATTTTAAAGGGTTCATTGAACGAATAATACTTGTTGCGTTAATATTTGTCAAGGAATATTCTCCACTATTTATGCAAAAAAAAAATTATCTAAAGACTCAAAGTATTGAATTTATGTCAAAGAAGATATTGCTTTAATGAAACAAGAAACACGTTTTGCTAATCCCACAAAAATTATATAGAAATATATTTTTCCAATAAACAATATTCTTATCGAGATAAATTATAGTATTAATCCGATTAGTTTATTTTCAATTAAAAATTTGCCAAATTTAATTTATTTATACATTTTGTATAATTATTTAGAATAAAAAAAAATTTTTTGTTTTGAATTTCTTTTTTGCGTAAATAAATATTTATAAAATACGTAAACTTTTCCAAAATATGTGAATTATTTTAGGAGAGGAAAATTATATAAATATTTTTCTGATACGATTATAAATATAAAATATTGCATGAGAATAATCCAAATATATTTCTTAATAATATAATCCAAATGGCATTGAAAGATCAACTGATAATAAAGCAGAAAAAAATATGGAGACAAATATAGTGTAAGAAAACGTTGAATGTAAACAGGTGCATTGAATTTTATTGCACTAGAATAAGTGAAAGGGAAATGACGATAACAGCGCATTTCTGAACAAAAAACTAGTTTTTCAAGGTATAATTTCAAAATATGATTTTAGACTTTCGATACTGTGTCGCACGCCTTAAATATATACTAATTTACATATAACATTGAGCCATCCATTATTTTTCGTGACTGCAATTTTTTACTACAATTTCCAGTCGTTAGATTTTTTTTATTGCAAATTAATAATTTCTCACCCGCAGAGAAAAATGTTTTTTTTTTTAAACAAATTTAATATATTTAAGTTAAATAAACGTATATTTGTATTAACTTTTTTATTTTGCGTAAATAACATTTATTTGCAACAAATAAAAATTTATTTGGCTCTGAGACAAATTTATCTTTTTTCTTGGTGCTTTGGCACAAAAAAATAATTTAAATTTCGTCGATTTTGTTTACTAAAAAGTAAAAAAAATTTACAATAACTTAAAATTAATAAAATGAAATAGAAAATTGATTTCTCAATAATTATAGACAAGAAATACGTTCTACAAATCATATATTATTATCCAATTGTAGGTTTTCAATACATTGTATATTATATAGTAAATTTGCAATAATTGAGTAATCAAAGTGAAAAAGTAAATTTAGTAGAGAAAGCAAAATTTTTTTTCGTATATTTATATATTCAACTTTAAAAAGAGTGTAAAGGTCGTGTGTGCACTAGTAGGTGAAAGTGACAAATTGGTTGCCTTTCCATTATCACACCTGCTCTAATTTCATTTTCACACATTATAAATACACATGACAGCAATTAAAACATGAAATTCACTACATTAAAATTTTTTTTTTGAATAATTAGTCTCCATTTTTCACTACAATAAATATCAATTTTTGTTTATTTTTTTAATTTTAGATTTTTTTTAGAAAAGTCGATTTTTAATTATAAGAATTTAATGAACGGGGTTTTTTTTCTCGCTCCAATCAACTTCTTATATTTCTTCTTACCCCGATACGTCTCCTTAAGGCTTCCAGGATTTCCTTTTCCTCTTTCGTCTTCTCATTCTCTTTCTCTTGACGATTATTTTCACATTGTCTTTCGTTTTCTTTGTCTTTGTCAAATAACGCTTCCGAGGATTTCACATGAGTATGATTCTTCGGAGGCGGAGAATGATGGACCCACTTCAACATGGCCGTATTGGCTACATAATTATAATAAACTCACCCCGTTTTTCACAAACAGGTGTTAATTTTTTAATTCACTATTTTTTTTAAACGCCTGTGCAATTATTTTTCACATTGAGACTGCAAAAAAAAAATTTGTATGGATTCTCTTTTATAAGGGTCACATCTTCAAAAAATTAATTATTCTTCAAAAATAAATTTACAAAAAAAATTTATATGTTTCAAATAATTGACTATTATTAAATAAATATTTATTTTAAACCAAATAATTAATATTTGAATGAAATAAATTTTTACCAATTTTATATTTTGATAAATACAATTTAAGTGATTCGCAAATAATAATTATTTGATACAAATCAAGTAACAAATTATTTGAATCAATTTTTTTTTAATTTATAATTTTATATTTTGAAATTCTGTAAATTTTCTCATATAACTTCAAATGTTTATCTTCGTACACACATTTACCACAATTAGCCAACATTTACCCAAGCCGGTAGTAGCCACATTCTTACTGGAAATATTTCTCTAATCTATCTTTTCATCTTGGCCGATAAGATGGTTCAAGTTTGTCCTGGTATATACAATCGATAAATTATGTCTATAGAAATATTTAACTCCTTTTATGAAATTCAGATCGTGACACATTGAAATTCAATGCAGTTTCTATAATGCGAAAATGCGATAGGCTAATGTGATAAATATTATTATATAGTAAAAGGAGGATATTATTTTTCATTGTATAAATTGCATTTCCGGAACAGATTATCGGAACAGAAGATAAAGCACTTAATTGAAAGTTTCAAATATATAATTCATTTCAAAAAAAAGGATTAAGAAAAATAATGATTTTATCTCATTTTGACTTCATACATGAATAATGTATATATACAATTATATGTAACGCACAATTTTTAATTAATTAATTATATGTAATTAATTTTAAATACTAAAATTAAAGAAATAAAAATAATTTTAAATACAAAAATTAAAGAAATAAAACAGTAATTTTAGTTACTAAAATTAAAGAAACAAACAATAATTTTAAATAATAAAATTAAAGAAATAAAAAAAATAATTTCAATTATTCAAAATTTAAAATAGAAAAATTCCGATTCAAAAAGTAGGGGAGACCGAGGAGGAAAGTAACAGAGGAGGAAAGTAACAAAGCTTATAACTTTTAAACAAATTATCGGATAGACATGGTTCAAACATATTTTTAGTCGGCACTGTTCCCCCTTCCTCCTCCATAGTGTGTCCGAGCCTGACAGGAAAGGTTAGGTCTGATTCCGGTGTGACGTGCAGAAAAAACGTCAAAAGTAAGTTTTCGTTCAAATTTTCAAAGTCTCGTATTTCTTTAATTTTATTGTTTTTCAAAATGTGCCTTTCGTTATTTTGTAGCCTTATTATCTGTCTTTAAGTTGTGCTTAAACAAACAATTTAACATTTGTGTAGTTTTAACTTTTTTGTTGACATACAAGAAAAAAGCGACCGAGGAGGAAAGTAACACGCTACTTTTCTCCTGTTGTCGATATTGTCCATGTTTTATCTAATGATTGAAGCAAATCGTATTTAATTTTACGAATAACAGAGATTTATTTAAGAAAAACCTGTGATCTAGCTAAGCATAAAATATCTTTAAGAAAAAAAATGAGCTAAATTCATAAAATGTTCGAAATATGTGCTAAATATGTCCCAAATATGTGCCAAATAAGTATAAAGTGTACTTAAACTTTTATGTGTTCCTAATAAAAATATTTCTAATTAATAATAGTCATTAGTCTAAAGAATTTTACATAATTTTATACTGTTACTTTCCTCCTAGGAGCTTGTTACTTTCCTCCTCGGGGGTCAGGAGGAAAGTAACAGATGAAGAGCTTGCGTAAAAGTTATACTGTGAACTGTCAATTTATTATAAATGTTTAATTCAAATTTTATTTAAAAGGTGAATGTCCAAGCTTTCATTTAATATATTGGACAAATTTATCCGACAAATATTTTTAATGTTAGCATAAAAAAACTGATTTTTGTTACTTTCCTCCTCGGTCTCCCCTACTATTATCGAAATAAATCAGAATTTGCCTTATTGACAATAGGGTATTAACAATCAATATACAACAAAAAGTTTGACAATTATAATAAAATGATGGGAATCGATAGGCTCGGTCTCCGGTGATGTGACAATTCTTTTTTTTTCTAAAATATGTCCCCGTCATGGTACAATGAAGCGATTCACAAAAATTTCTTTTTTTTATTCTGTTAAAAGATCAGTTAACGAATAAACTTATTATTCCCATGGATTTAATTGTAATTTGAGTGGTGCCTCTCATAGTGGGCAGTGTATATAATTGAAAGTCGAAAGTTGAAATGACACACCCCGAGCATGGAAAAAGTTGTTAGAGAGCGATTTTCTATTATTTCTATTATTGATTCGTGTCACGCTATATGAGAGAAAGAAAGACGCAACTCTTATTCAAAACCTACATTTAAAATTATTTGTAAACAAATGAAACATTAATCAAATGTACTACGTGATTTTTAAATGATAATTAATAATTATTAGTATTAATTATTATCAAAATTAATATATTATTGTAATAATTATAATTATTAAATGATAATTAATAAAATTATTAATTATCATACTTTGTAGTACAATAAAATTGCTTTTCAACTTCAGTTACATATTGTAAAATACGACAAACGTATTAGCAACATGCGAAAAGATGTTTTTTTTCCTTTTTATGTGAACATAGGAGCAATTTATACGTAATGACGATGAGAAAATAGTCGGTTTTCCTGTACTTCTTTTCATTAAGATAAATTTTTTTCTGTCATCATAGTGAGTAAATTAGTGCAATTTATTAAAATTTTCTATATTAACTCAAATTTAATTGATAGCTATTTAACGATTTTTAATCATCCATAAAAATTAAAGAAATGCTCATAAAATAATTATTATATTATCATATTACATTACTAATTAATTAAATAATAATAGGACTAGTGATTTGGAACGCGTGACATGTGGTTGTGTCTTGTGTATGCTAATCGATTCCGAGTTAATAATTGTTTTTTATAAGCGGTAAAGACTTTCGGAGTTTAAATTTGTTTGGGCAAAGTGTAGTGAAGTTTTGTTATTCAAAATAACAATAAATTTAAAGTGGAATTAGAATTACATTGTAAATATTGCAGTAAAAGTTAAAACTGTCTTTTTGAGGTTAAATTGTAAAGGCCAAAATGGCGTCGCATAATTCCGGAAATCAGAAAATGACAGCGGAAGACTCCAAACGGAATTCTGTCAAAGCTGCAGACAACCTCAAAAATGAAAGTGTCAACAATGGAAAAAAAACAATAATTAAATAATAATTTAATTTCATTATATACTACACAGGTCTTTAAAATTATTAATTAATTATTGAATTTATTTATTTATAATACATTATATTATAAAAATAAATTAATAATATTTTCAAATTTATAAATAGCTTTAAAATACAAAAAGCAGTTTAAATGAGAAAAGTGCTTTGTTTTGAAAAAATTGAATTAGTATCGAAGTCAATTATACGAGATTCCATAGCGAATAATAAAGGAATTCTCATAAATACGTTTTCATGATTCTGCAATAAAATGATGACCGTTCGACTCTGTTTCTCGCCCATTTCCGCCGCCCTCGAGGCCGACTTCCGTTTTTTATTCATCACGCTCATATGCGTATGTTGTCCGATTCAAATTACATTTGCAATCCCAATAGAAAAAAAAACCCTCCTTCTCATTTTTCTTTCTTAATATAGTAAACATTGCCTACATATTTTCTGCAGAAGAATCACGAAATGCTATATAATCAAGTTTTTGCTTCATATATTAACATTATAAAACCGTATGAATTTTATATATATAATATAAATGAATATATATGTATATATTCATTTTTAAGTTTAATTTCTAATTAATTATAAAAAAAAATCTCAAAAATCTGGATCATTATTTATAAATTTTCTACAATTTAATTAATTATGAGAAAAATATCAAGAAAGACAAATAATTGATTAATCTCTACACGATATTAAATTAAATTATAATAATTATTTACCATATAAAGAAGGAAGATTCAATTAAATAATTTTTAATTCAAATGTCCCGTTTTTTTAATTTTTAGAGCTAGATCTTAGATATTAATTAATAATTTATCAATATTGAATATCATTTTGACATGTTCTTGATATTTTGAAAATAATAAAAATGTTGTGAGAAAATATCAGTGTCTTGATTAATGTATGTGGGAAATTTAGATGATCTTATGTAGATATAAAATGTATGAATCTAGATTAATCATCATCAGACTTCAGAGAAGAATCTTTAACAGTCCACTCACGTCTTTCTGAGATTATGCGAGAAAGAAAAAGACAGATGTAGTTTTTTTTTTTTTTTTTTCTTACGAAACTTTCATTTTCTTCTTACGATTAAAATTAGACCTGTCGTTCACTTCTCATTCATGAATTTTTTTTTCATCGATTTTTTTATCGATAATTAAAATTCTTTTTAAATGTATCTAATTTTTTTTTTTTTATCAAAATGTGACATTTTCATATAGTTACACTGAAAAAAAAATTATTTAATTCTCGAATATTATGAAATAAATATTTATTTGGAGTAAATAATAATTATTTAATTAAATGATAATTATTTCAATTAAATTTTGTTTCACATCCGCAGAGAAATGTTTTATTTCGAACAAATATAATATATTTGTCTCAGAGCCTAATAACTTTTTTATTTGGCGTAATTAAAAGTTTGATTTGTCATAAATAAAATTTTTATTTAAATCAAATAAAATTTATTTGCAACAAATAAAAATTTATTTAGCTCTGAGACAAATATATATTTTCTTTAGGTGCAAATATAGAAATTATTGGTACAAATACAATTTATTTAATTGAAATAAAAATTATTTGGTTCATGTAAATATTTGTTTGATAATAAAGTAATTATTTGAATCAAATAAATTTTCTTTCCAGTGTAATATAATATAAATTGTGACGAATTTATAAATTTTTCAACTAATATAAAAGAACATAAGAAGAAATTGAACTTGGATGATAAAAAAAAAGAAATCAAAGATGCAAAACGTACACAAAACACTGATTCAAAAGATTCTTGTTACCATTGATGTTCTTTTGTTAGTTTGATGAATCACTAATATTTTTTTTTGTCTCGTAACTAGAAACTGAAATTACGCTTGAATATTAATGAATCTCATACAAAGGAAAGTTAAAATGATATTCGCATTGCAATAGTAGAAAAAATATATTCTCTTTTTGAATAAAGAATAAAAGGAAAATAATAAAACTTTAGAAAATAAATAATAAAAAAAATTCACAATAGAAAGTATTAATAAAAAAATTTATATAAAAATATATAATATTTTATAAGCAGTATTAATATTCATTTTTTTTCCTTTATAAAATCAATAAAATGTCTATATATAATCGCGATTTAAATGTATATAATTTGAAAATCACAACGAAATATAAATTCCACTATCACCTACGGATATAAAATAAAGTAGTTTGTCAATCAAATATATATTTCTTGCGGTGCAATACTTCTAGAAATAATATTATGGTAACGGGGTAATCTCTATGTAACCATCGCGGTAAAACCATCTCACCACAAACGTCACGCAACATGATGCGCAGGCTGAGATAAATATATTTAAAATATGTATCGAGAACATTTTACCGTATGTAATAACAAATATCAGTACTAATCTGACATAATTCTCTTAACCAGATGATAGTTTAGTTTATTTTTTTTAACGTTTAGATTATTTTCTAATGTTCAGATTATTAAAATTAAAAAGAAAAACCCAATTATTAATTACATATATAAATTTCAAAGAAATTTTATTTTAAAAAAATTTATATGACGAAAAAAATTGGGATATCAATTTTTCGAAATTTCAAAGTTCGAAATGTTTATCAAAGATTTTTAAAGGAATATTATTTTTTGCGAATGAAAAATTCTATGAATTTTCGCCTCGAGAACAATGTTTGTTGATTAAAAAATTATAAAAATTTTAGATAAAAAAAAATTTGTTTTCTAATCGTTAATCTCAACTAGTAATTTAGTAGTAGTATTTAGTAATTTTTTAATAAATAAAAATTATAAATTGTTTATAACCTTATAGAAAATGGAAAAAAATTGCAAAAAAAATTATTTCACACAAATAACATTGGTTACTTTATTATTATCAAATAACTATTCACTTGAACCAAATAAATTTAATTTGAATTTAGTAAACTGTGTTTGAACTGGTTTGAACCCACAATTTCTTTAAATGAAACAAATACCATTTGATTGGCTCAAAAAATAATTATTAAATACAAATAAATATTTATTTGATAGTCGATTATTTGAAACAAATAAATTATTTTTCAGTATATCAATTTTCTTTTTTATTATTATAATTAATTAAAATTAATTGTGCAGACAATAAATTTTACTATCTTTATCAACGATTTTTAAAGAACTATATTTTTAATGAAAAATTCTATGAATTTTCTTTTCGAGAATAATGTTTATTGATCAAAAAATTATAATAAAAATATTGTTGTTGATCAAAAAAATTTATAATTTTCCATTTTAAAAAATAATTTGTTTTCTAATTTTCTAATTATTTTATAAAAATATTTTCAAGACATGGAAAATATGCGAAAAATGCATAATTTTTATTAAAAAGAAATCTAAACTTTAGAAAAACTTTTATAAACTTAATACAGGATTTAATAAAATTTAGTAGATTTAGTAATTAATCAAATACGTTTTACCAAATTTTAATTTAATTATTAAATTACTTTATTGTAAATTTTCTTAAAGATTATTACAGATTAGTATTTCTTATATGGAAATTTCGCTTTTTTACCCCATTTTCTACGACTTGAAAAAAGTTTTACAAAATTTGATTATTTATTTATTTATTTATTTTCTGTCATCAAAGTTAATAAAAACTGATCACACAGACAATAAATTTCGCTACATATCGTATTGCATTTTAGAATCGACTTAGACCCGTTTTAGAGCGAGGTTGAAAGCTGAAATTTGATGGTGTATACTCCAACACCTCTATAAACGCCACAAGGTTAAAGATAAATCACTACGAAGCTCGAACAGGAAGATCAAGTCCCTGAAGGAACAAACAGCCTGCAAAATTCTACACCAAGAAGAATAAAAAAAAAAGAAGATCTTTTTCATTTCTCAAATGCAACTATGAATATCTAATCTTATTGACAATGAATCTAATAACCGTCATAAATATTAATTACATTTTTTTTTCTTTTTTCAGATATATTTATTAAGTTAGCAGATTTTTCATACGACAGCAAAACTAGAGTGATAATTCCAAGTATACAATATCTAACTGTTTTTAGCGTGTCAACTGCTACTATTAAGGAATTCACATTCCTTATAATCCGGTTGACAGGTTGAAGAGAAACTTCCGTTTGCAAAAAAAAAAAAGAAAAATGAAAAAATGGACAATACTCTCGGGAAAATACTCCTTGTCATTCCAATGAAATAAGGCATTTTGTTAAAATCTCAAGAACTCAACTGTTGCGAAGCGATGACGAGTAGATCCGAGTATAAAATACATGAGTAGGCCTCCGCAGGGAGTATTTTCTGATGCGACAAAAAGGAAACTTGTGCCTATGGCAATTTAAACCAGTTTTCAGGACATAAACTTCTTTCAGAGAAAGACTGCTCTAGATAAATTGTAACATATCAAGTTAATAAATGAGATAATAAGCTATTAATTATTATATCTACAAAGCAAAACAAAAATTAAATTTGTAACTCTCATTCATTCAAACCTCTCTCCAAGTAATTAATTCTTAATAATAGGATTGTCACAATCGTCACTTAAACACTGTGTCAATTTCCTTAAAAAAACGTGACACTTATAAAAGAGATACATACATATGGGATTTGGTTGAATAATAATAAAATTTTTGAAAAACGTGATCAGGGATGAAAAAAAGAGATCGGTTCGATGGCTGGACCGTGTTTGCAACCAACCGTCTGAACGTAACTGGATGGCAGTGGTCAGTGTGATGCCCATGCGGACCATGGGCCTTAGTTGTTCAACATTGGTGAAAGGAAAGGATCTTGTAAGAAAACATGGTGGGGCGAGACACACAGTGCAAAGAAGGTTTGATCATTATTATATGCCAGACCACTCAAGAATCTATGCAGATCATATATTCATAACGCAAATATTGATCGAGTGTGTCGATATTCTTTTGAATTGCTTAAGGAATCTGCGATAATTCATTTATATTCCAAATGGTATTTAGAAAATAATTAATCCTTCATTATAAGAGCTTTTAAGAATTACCAGTTTTTGTCTTATTTTTCACTGTTAAGATTTTATCAACTGAAATACAAAATTAGTGGGATTTTAAATGCGTCTGACAGAAACTTTGAGGTTAGGAGTTTATACTATAGGAAATTAATAATTAAAAAAAAATTAGTTAGTGTCTTGTTCAATTTGAACTTATAAAAATATTCGACAAAACAGGAAAATATTTAAAGCTGTATGCGACGTTTTGTATTACCGATAGTGAACACTAGGAGCGCTGCCTTTTGCATCACGTGCAATTTCACTAAATGCACTAAATGAATTAATGAAAACTAGCGCCTGATTTAAGGGCATATAAAAGTCGTGATATTTTTTACATAAAAGTTGCAATGTAAAAAGTATAACTACTTTGACATCCCCTTAAACAATTTATTCGAATTTAAAATTTTTGTATAATTTTTAGTTTTAATACAAAAAAAATTTCGAACTATAGAATTAAGTATGAAAGAGTTATTAATTGAATTAATTAAAATGTTCGGTGACTTCTGTTGCTAAAGAATTTATCAAAAATTACAGACAAAAATTGAAATTTAAATATTTTTAAGTGAAAAATGTTTATAGGTAATTGAATTTCCAAAGAATATTATAAAAATAATTAAATTTCGGAAGAGTTATAATGTTGAAATTATTAAATTTCAGAAAGTTTTAGATGGAAAATTTTAGTAATAATTAAATTTTAGAAGGTTTTAAATTGAAATTTTTGAAAATAATAATTGATTTTCAAGTGATTTTAAATTAAAATTTTTTGTAATTTTATTTGCTGATTATTTTTTAAAATTTTAAACAATTATTGAATTTTATAAGATTTTTAATTGAAAAATAGTTAAAGATAATTAAATTTGTGAAAATTTTCATTAAAATGATTGAAAATAACTAATTTAGAAAAGAATTTTAATTAAATATTTGTTAAATAATTAAAGTAAAGAAGATTTGAAAAAGAGCGGCATTGTATACTAAATAAGACTAAATTTTACTAAATTTTGTTTAAAATTTTTTGTAAAAAAGTCGAAAAAGTCGTATAATCCGAGGCCTTTAAATTAAATTAAAGCCGAAACCCTGGGGTACTTTATGATTATTACTATTATTATTATTTACCGATAAAAAATGCCAAATGGGATTATTGATCCAGATTTAAAATTACGCTTCCTTTAAATCATTATGTTACAATAGCTCAATATCATCTAACAGTGAATCGTAATGTCCATTATGTGACTAACAGTCCATATCGACACGTTCGATACAAGATAATTTCATATAAACACTGATATTAAAGACAAGGTTCATTTCATTTGATCTACTTTTATGAACATCTTTTGGAATTTTAATCAAACTCAACAATAGGAACATATTAGTCGATTATATGAGGCATTTTGCAAATAATTATTTACAAGTTAAATACATATATCTATATTCTTGATATGGACCGTTTGATGATCCGAAGAGAGAATCGAGGGAAAGAGAAGACTTCTTTTGAAGTGAAGTTCTCTAAGAGAGAGAGGGGACCAATAACGGTAAACCTCTTTATACACAACATTTCCAGGCTAACTTCAATTATTATTATTTTAACTTCATAACTATTTAAGGGTTCTTACTTTAAAACCTCAAACTAAAAAGTTATTTTTGAATAAAACTAAGAAATTCAAATTCATTTTATCAAAATTTTGAAAGATTTAGTTGTACAATTTTCAAAATAAATTATCTTGTGCAAAAATTTGTTGTTAAATAGTCATTATTTCACTATTTATATTTTTTGTTTAAAGTTGGCCAAATAAATAATCAACAAAAAGATTTCGGCGCAATTTTTAAAAATTCAACAATCACGATTTTCTTGATAATTTCTAATTGGGTCAATTTTGAAAAATTGCGCCGAAATCTTTCTGTCGATTGTTTGTTCGGTCATTTGCAATTTTGAACGAATAAAAATTCGGCGTCTTAAAAATTCTAACAATTAAAAATTCTGTCTACTAATAATTAAAATTTGATTAAATTAAAATTCTGTTTTATAAAAAGTCATGTAAAGAAAATGACTAAAATAAAAATTCTGGCAAAAATTCGGTAGCTTAAAATTTTGTCAAGTTAAAATTCGTATAAAAAAATTCTGTCAAATGCTAATTCAAAAATTAAAAATTTGTCTAAAAAATAATTATTTCTAATAAAATACTATGAAAATTCTAATTAATGATTTTTATGGGGGTAATCATGCGCCTAAAAATTTTAATTAATGATTTTTCTATGGGAAATTCATGCGCCCCGATAATAAAAAAAATAATATTTCACATTGGTTGGACCATTTATCATTGCGTATTAGAAAACCAAGGATAAAGGTAGATTGTAATTAGATCTCTTACGATAATTGCAAAGGAAATAAGTTTTGTGGGCAGAGAACTAGAATCACTGGCAAGTCATAAGCTCTGATACTGATCTTCATATTCATATATATTCAGATCTACATATACGTATAAAAGAACATATATATATATATATATACATAAAATTATATATACATATAGAACCATATATAAATAATCTTTCTATATATATTAAAATCATTATATTACATAAAGCACATTATACAGCTAAAAACTGATGTTTCTGATAAAATTTCCCAGAATTCAATTTTGGAACAATTAGTTTCACTTTTTAAAAAATTACAATTTCTAATCATGTTCAGAATGAATATACGCACAGTTAGAAAATAAATGACGTAAATAGTTGCAGATCATATCTTTCGTAATATTTACAAACTTTCTTTAAAAAAAAAAAAAATGAGAATGACATAAGTCTCTTTTGTAATAAGTGTATTTCAAACAATTGAAAGAACTGCAAAAATACAAAGTGCAAAAGAAGATGTTTTATAAATGCAATTAAATAATAAAAAAAAATTTTTTTGAAAAAAAAAATTCAAAAAAAATCTCAATATCATTTTAATGATAAAATGGAGCAAGAAACCAGTATTTAAGAAAAAAGAAACAAAATATAACATTTGAAGGTTGTAGTCTCGTCGGAGCTCTAATTAAGATTGGAAAGCGATGCAAGGTTATAGAGTCTCTGCGCGAGATGCGAGGACACTTAAGATAGGAGCTATCATATAATACGTATTTCGCTTTACACATGGTTAATCAACAGAATCGGATGTGTAAAAAAGAATAAGAAAATAGCGGAAATGAATATATAGCGAAGGTCAACATATAAAGAATGTAAATGAAAAAATGGTCCATGTAATTAGGAAAATAGATTTTAGTTAATTATCACTTCATGATTAAATTTTTAACAATAAAAATTGCAAATTTATCAAGATCTTGGTAAATCAAGCATACAATAGTGAAGAAGAAAAACCTATTTTCAATTGACCTTGGTCCATAAAGTTGAATATACCTCTCAAGGATTATAATTATATACTTAGAAAAATACATAGTTTTTTGCATTTTTTTACAGATCAGTGATTTTAGTGCCTTTTTTAAATTGAGTATTAGAAGAATTTTATAATTATTAAAAAAACATGAAGTATCCTTTAATTATATATTTATATAATTCAGTGAAAAACAAAATTTATTTGATTCAAATAATCGTTAGCAAATAAATATTAAATCAAACAATATTTATTTGTATCAAACAATTTTTATTTGAATCAAATAAATTGTTTTCGCACCCAGATAAAATATATATTTGTCTCAGAGACAAATAATATCTTTTTTTACAATTAGTGATTTAAATAATAGTTGAATAATAACAATAATTATTATTTATTATAAATAATTACTTGTAAGGAGACGTTCGAAATTCAATGTTAATTTTACAATTATAGACAAATAATATATTTATATTTGTTTCAAATAAATTTTAATCGAGTTAAATAAAAATTTTATTTGTACTAAATAACATTTTAGTTATATTAAATAAAATTATTTACTTTCAATAAATTTTTTTATTTAAAACAAATAAAGTTATTAGCCTCCGAAACAAATATATTTTTATTTACTTAAAATTAATTTTATTTATCTCAAATAAACGATAAAATATTTCTCTGATGGTTTCAAACCAATAATTTCTGTATTTGCACCCGCAGAGAAATATCTTATTTGAACCAAATATAATATATTTGAGTTAAATAAACGTAAATTTGTCTCACAACCTACTAGCCCATTTATTTGGCGTAAATAAAATTTTTTATTTAAATCAAATAACATTTTTTATGAATCAAATAAAAATTTTTTTGAATCAAATAAAAATTTATTAGAGTCAAATAAATATTTATTAGATTCTGAGATAAATATATCATTTCTTTGCATGGGTGTGAAACAAATAAAAATGTACCTGAAGTTGAAAATAACGAAATTTTTTAAAAATTACTACTGCAATGAAAAATATGTAAATTAAACATTTAATAAAATTATTAATTTATTTTTGATTAAAGAAAGCAATATTTTATAATAAAATTTGAAGTTAAAAAGTAGTAAACAAATTTTTTGTGAATTTTTCAGAATTTCAGGTACTTCAAATAAAATTTAATTGACATAAAAATTATTTATTCCAAAGAAATATTTATATGATAATAGTCATGTGGTTACTTGCGACTATTATTAATAAATAAAAAAATAAATTGTTGGCTAAAAAATAAACTTTTTTCAAAGAATTCATAAAAATTCCCTTACCTTGAATACTTTTTTCGCGAATATAAATTGTTAAAAA